TATGACATTATTAGTTCAAGAATAAACAAGAACTTGAAACAAGAAGTAAATTTTGAAGAAAAAGATTTTCTTGAGTCAAGATGACTTTTTTTTCTGTGCGAGAATTTAGTTTCATCTACCAACGCGTGGGCGGATGCGTGGGTGTAAAATAAATGAGCGAAATAGGGTTTCTTTGACTAAAGTTGACGTCAAAACCACTAAAGCTATCGGGATAGGACCGCTATCATTCGACGCAGAATTTTCCGTAGATGTTATGGGCTACTTATTTTTTGGATTTTATCAACCATTTCTCATTTTCTTTACGATTTAATTTCACATACATTTTTTCCCGCTAAGAAAAACAAAAGACTCTCATTTTTTATTTATTTGTTTTTAATACGGTTTTCTTTTGTTTTTATTACATAACCTTGATATTTGATTGATTTAACGTCATTTAAAAAAAGTTCAAGAAAAAGAAGCTAATTATTTTTGGTGAACTAAGTGTCGAAAATTTCTGTTTATATGCTGATCGTATGTTTGGTTATGATTATTATCTACGAATTAATTGGTTTTATGAAATAAAATAGTTAGATATCTATGAAATCTACTAAAAATGCTGTTGTTTATAAACTAGAACTTTTTGAAACATGAAACTTCGACCATATCTATTGAGATTTAATAACATTTACTAAAAATTTTCTTACACCAAACGTCTCCTTTAGCAGCGGGAAAAAAGTAATTGTTAGGTTTCCAAAACTTAATATTACATGTAGTAATTCGGTCAACGGATTAAAAATTTTATATACATGTTATTTTTGCTGATATTACATAACTTATAAATTGTTCTTATTGCGGGATCGCGGGAATGTATCTGATGATTAAAATGAATGCATTTTCCAAACACTGAGTATATGAAAAGTAAATTTGGCTACCTATTTAAATAGAATTCGTAAAAAAAAATGTTAAATTTATTTTCTATAAAATATTGATGTCACTGAGAAAACTTGAAATAACAAAAAAATGCTTCGCAATTGAAGCTATACAGATTTCAACTTTACTTTTGAGACTTGCAATGACTTTAACTAAACTTTTAATACTCAATTAAAATCTAAGCAAATCAAAACAATAATTAAATTTCAAGTCTAGATCTAAAAATGCAATTTTATAAAGCGCCCAGCGAAGCGGGCGGGTAACAGCTAGTATATATATATATTACTAGAAGATAAAACTAGAAACATATGTTAAAACTAAAGTTCTCTTAGATTATGAATTTCAACTGAGTATTATAACATTAAAACAATATTGTAATATTCAAGTTACTCGAATTCAGAAATTACTAATATATTCTAAAATTCAAATTCTCTAATTCTAAAATTACAAATATATTCCCAAATTATAATACTCAGAGGTCCGAAATTTTTAATCAGTGTTAAAATTTTTGAATCGGTATTATGATTTTCAAGTTGCTTGAGTTTTAAAAATATAGCTATACTCTAAAATTTTAATGCAGTGAGGATAGACGTTTGGAATCGGTATTGTAATATTGGGCTACCTGAATTTTAAAATTATAAGCGTATGCTAAAATTTTAAGTAGTGCCAACTTCGAAATAATAAAATTCGCCCTAAATTTGTAAAATCTCTCGTAGAATCGAAAACAGGCGCAAGTAAAAATTTTCAAACTCGCGATTAGTTAAATAATTTTTAAGACCCAACATTTTTTTGTAATATATGTATAATTGGTAAAAAGAAACTTATTAACAGTGGTGTAAAGTGTTAGTGTTTAGTAATAATAAAAAATATAGAGCTAAATATGTAAAGAGGTTATGTTGACATATGATTTATATGATGAGAGAATAAAGACACGTTGTCTCACGCCATTGTAGGACGTGTACTTGGCGCGAGACACTATCGTGTCTTCGGATTTAAATTTCCTTCACCGCCAGTTACCTAAAAAAATTTACCTTACCGACAACTAATTTCTTACTTATAACTTAGAAGACTTGGAAGACAGATCAATTGTCGTTCTTTTTTAATGTTTCATGGGTTACAGTTTAATTTTTTTCATAAATATGATATTTAAATGTTTTAATGTGTGTATTTTATTATATAGAATTTACTATTATTTGACATATATTAAGTGTTATGTATGAAGTATTAAATGTATGTATATAACTTGTTAGAGAGCAAGTTACTTTTTGAATTCCTTTACAATTATTACTTTGGCTACATTTCCGTTCGGATCACTCAGATGACCCCCTTCTAAAATACAGTTGTAATGGTTTTGTGGCTCCACCTACTGTCGTATATTGAAATTCTAAACTAAAGACCAACTACTTATGGGCGCTAAGTTCAGTATTTAGTATACTAGCTATTTAGATGGTAGAATAACAGAGTTAAGTAGTGCCAACTTCGAAATAATAAAATTCGCCCTAAATTTGTAAAATCTCTCGTAGAATCGAAAACAGGCGCAAGTAAAAATTTTCAAACTCGCGATTAGTTAAATAATTGTTAAGACCCAACATTTTTTTGTAATATATGTATAATTGGTAAAAAGAAACTTATTAACAGTGGTGTAAAGTGTTAGTGTTTAGTAATAATAAAAAATATAGAGCTAAATATGTAAAGAGGTTATGTTGACATATGATTAGAGAATAAAGACACGTTGTCTCACGCCATTGTAGGACGTGTACTTGGCGCGAGACACTATCGTGTCTTCGGATTATATAATTTAAATTTCCTCCACCGCCAGTTATATCTAAAAAAATTTACCTTACCGACAACTAATTTCTTACTTATAACTTAGAAGACTTAGAAGACAGATCAATTGTCGTTCTTTTGTAATGTTTCATGGGTTACAGTTTAATTTTTTTCATAAATATGATATCTAAATGTTTTAATGTGTGTATTTTATTATATAGAATTTACTATTATTTGACATATATTAAGTGTTATGTATGAAGTATTAAATGTATATAACTTGTTAGAGAGCAAATTACTTTTTGAATTCCTTTACAATTATTACATTGGCTACATTTCCATTCGGATCACTCAGATGACCCCGACAAATCTATTTTATTTTAAAATAAACAGAATAATAAAAAATTAGAATTTGTAAAAATCATTAAATATATGAAAAAAAACCTATGAATGAATATTATTCTAAAATCAGAACATACCTGGGAGGTTTGTTTAATTTTTTTATACAAATTATTGTAATAAATTTTAATCTCCGATTCACAATTGCCGCGCTAATCTTCTTTTTCACCCGTCATTGGTCGAATGGTTCCGATTTATTGACAATGCACTCACAAATATACTGCGCATCACAAATTCAAACTGATTGGTCAGCTACAATAGTGTTAAAATAAAAAGTGGTGCAAGTACATGTGTATCTACTTTTCTGCATTAACTTTAATTGCATTGGTAGATCACATGTTTACAATTTGATAACATGAAAACCTGCCCAATCAATTGTATACTTACCGGCGTACGGCTATATATATATATAAATATATATCATATATAGCCTATAGCAGGGTAGGTATAAGAATAAGGTGTAGAAAATGTTAGAAAAACTCGCTAGCAAGTGACAAAAGCAACGTGCTGCAACGTGTCGACATTGAGCTGAGAAGTATATACCTTTTTTTTTATTTGCAACTACAGCTCGTAATGGCAGCTGAAGTTCAACATTTCGAACCACCGAGCTCAGCAAGCTCTGAAAGGTAATTTAAACAATGTTATTTGAATAATGAAACATATTTTTTAATTGTTATAATATAATAAGCTTAATTTTTTTCTGCTGACTTCATTGATGTGCTGGTATAATAAATCGACATGTTGTTTTTAAATATTTATAATTGTTAGTTAATATATTTTTCATTCACAGTCATGATAATATAACAATTAATTTCTTGTATATATTTTAGCGATGGTGATATATGTCTAGAAGATCGGGCTGTGTTCCTTGCAGACGGTGCCAGTGATGATGGTGATGACACCAGAGAACTTGTTAATCCTTCACCGCAAGTTCCTCCACGACCGGCTTCAACTGGTAATATAATTTATTTATTATTTACTATCTTCAAAAGGTAGCTTTGATTTATTTTACAGCAGTTATTCATTGTACATTGAGAATGGTTGACAACTTAACTGCTGATTTTATTAAATAATTTATTGTTTGTTTATTAAATAAATCATACGATAGGTTCGCAAAAATCACCGAGATCAAGAAGGCAACGAACGACAAGTATGTCACAATCAAGCAAAAAAACTTCTACGGAATGTATTTTACGTAGTAAGCTCAGAACAATTTATATAGCAGGCAGACCTGCGTGGTATGATTCCGCTGGACAGCAAGTTGAACCTTTTGTAATAGGTTAGCTTTAATCATCATTTATATGGAGATCAAGCGAGACACAATTTATATTTGTTTATTAATTATACAATAATTAATGCTTCTTTAGGGATTTGTGGAGGAAGTGCTTCAGGTAAAACTACAGTCGCAACGAAGATAATTGAATTTCTAAATGTCCCTTGGGTCACATTATTGAGCATGGATTCATTTTATAAAGTATTTATTATTTAACTAACTGTATTAAAAATGAAAAATTTAGCAAGTCCAGTGATAATAATGGTTGTTTATCCATTTTTAGGTACTCAATGAAAAGCAGCATCACCAAGCAGCACTGAATGAGTACAATTTTGACCATCCCGAAGCCTTTGACTTTGAATTATTGAAACTTACTTTACAAAGACTTAAAGAAGGACGAAAAGTTGATGTTCCTATTTATAATTTTGTGACACATAGTCGCGAAAGTCGCACTGTAAGTTTCAGTTACATATTTTATCAAATATTAATAAAATAATAAACTGTGATTTTATTTTTAGAAAACTATGTATGGTGCAAATGTGATCATATTTGAGGGCATTCTTACATTTTACAACGCAGAAGTATTAAAGGTAATTTAAAAATAAAAATTCTGAATGCGTAGAAAAATAAATAATTTCATTTTTTTTTTTTTTTTTAAAACAGTATCGATTGTAACTTGTATGTAAAAGTATTATATAAAATTATCTATTTAACAGTAGAATTACTATGGCCTCTTAGAAATGACAAAAATTATTTACGACCGTAAGTGATAAAGTATTAGATAACATTTTTAATATGATTATAAACTTATAATTTAGATGTGTGATATGAAAGTATTCGTCGACACTGATGCAGACGTGCGGCTGGCTCGGCGACTCCACCGAGATATATCGCAGCGAGGTAGAGACTTAGAAGGTGTATTGAAACAGTACTCAGCGATGGTTAAACCGGCTTATTGTTATTACATTGCACCTTCTATGGTACACGCAGATATTATTGTACCACGTGGTGGCGAAAACGAAGTTGCGATTAAACTCATTGTTCAACATGTCCATACACAATTACAGCTGGTACGAAATTCAATCCTCTTTCTACTTTGTATTGTTTCATAATATCATGTCATGATAGTTTATTTCATATCATGGTTTATTTTCTTAGCGAGGATTTAAGTTACGAGAGAAGCTGGCTCACTCATACACTGGACAGCCATTACCTAGTGTATACATGTTACCCGATACTCCGCAAGTAAAAGGACTCCATACACTTATACGAGATAAAAACACTGAGAGAGATGAGTTTATATTTTACACCAAGCGTTTAATACGTTTAGTTATTGAGTATGCGCTTTCTTTATTACCCTACAAGGTAAAGTAATTACAATTTTTATTTATTTAATTGTTTGTAAGCCAATAAATATACAAATTTTATTTTATTTTATCAGGATGTTGTGATCGATACACCTCAGGGTATACCGTACCATGGAAAACGGGTCGCTTCAAATAAAATTTGTGGAGTATCAATAATGCGAGCCGGGGAAACAATGGAACAAGCGCTTTGTGACGTTTGTAAAGATATACGTATTGGAAAAATATTGATACAAACAAATGAAAATACTGATGAACCAGAGGTATATGATCACAAAAATAGTATCGTCTATTATAATTAATAGAAAAACATGGTCAGTAATGATTTTATCAATTTTTTAGCTCTTTTACCAACGACTGCCAAAGGATATAAAAGATTATCGTGTGATTCTGATGGACGCGACAGTTGCTACAGGCGCAGCTGCAGTAATGGCGATTCGAGTCCTATTGGATCACGACGTCGCAGAGGATAATATTTTCGTGGTATCACTTTTAATGGCAGAACCCGGCGTTCATTCAATAGCTTACGCGTTCCCACGAGTTAAAATCGTAACCTCGGCGATCGATCCCGAGATAAACGACCGTTTTTATGTTATACCGGGTATTGGAAATTTCGGTGACCGGTATTTCGGCACTGAACCTCTCAATGATTTAGAGTAAACGCAGTATTTGATTACTTCATTTCATTTGTTAATATTTTTTTTTTTTTGATTTTATTTTTATCGATTGTAAATAACATATACTATTAATATTAATATTGATATTAATAATGTCGCGTTTTTTTATAAACGTTATTATCAAGTTGTCGACATAACGTATTGGCGAAAGGATTTTAATAAATTTCTCATGCACCATAATGATCTTGCATTAAATTAATTTTAATAATAAATTATAATAGTTAAAATTACAAAGGTGTTGTATTAGTACCAGGTGTGTTGCTTACACCAGCATCCATCATATTTGATCTAAGTTGCCGGTAACCACGAGCACTAGCTCGTCTAGAACGTCGCCAGTTGTCGCCATTGCCATTTTGCTGTCCAAGAAGATAAGTTACAAGTCGATCGAGCGCTGCTAAATCTTCATTGGTACTTTCGGGCATCGGTGAAGATTCTGTTTGCTGGGAACCCACAGCACCCAGCATATCTGTGGTCTTTTCAATATCATCTACAGCTCGTTCAATTGATCCGATATTACCAGCCAAACCTAACCGAGGAGTTATATCATTTGGTCCATGCTGTCCATAACTAAGCCTCTTAATTTTACGGAATGTCTCGTCATTCATTGCTTCTTTCACTGCTTCATTTAATGTTCGTTCAAGTACTTTTTGTTTAGATTTACTCAATCCCTCGTAGAAGCTTAAAAAAAAAATTCATTATATTAATTTAAATAATCTTGAATTGAGTGTCGTGTTATAAACTTAATTGAACCGCGTTTTAAATTGCGTAATTGTATATGATATGTCTTGCCAAAACCTTGAATCTATTGAGCTGTTGTCCCGAGATGTATTTTTATCGCGTACCAGACGAATGTCATGCTGCCAGAATCTTCGCAATTCAGGTGTTGAAGTATAAGGCGCGGCTACTTCTTTTATCTTGAATTAATTGATATTGCAATTATAATTATCATTATCATTATTATTATTATACATGTAAAGTAAATGCTAGATAGTAGATAGTATCACATAAAATATGTAATCAATAATTATTTACCTTCAGAACAATTATCGCGGTGATGAAAATACATATGACATTGACAAAAGTTAAACATGCACTGATAATACCATTACAGAAAAATTCAACTGGTAAATAATCCGTGTAAATATATACATATGAGCTGTTGAGGTCTGTGTAGGATTCTCCCTTCATGTGAGGCATTTTAATAGGACGATAAATTAACCAAATACATCCGAGAGCCCAAAACAGCCCCTAGGTTTTAAATACAATAATTTTATTAACTTTAGTTTTTAAAAAAGATCAATAATAATTAGCATACACAGTTGACAACTGGAGGTAATAACGACGCAGAAATAGCGACTCCGATCAATGGACCATTGCTTCCTTGAAGAAGAGCTACTGCGACTCCTGTTCCGGATGGCAATGCCCATAATACTCCCATCCATAGAGATCTATAGTTACCTCTTTTATGGAAATTTATTAATTATCTGATTTCGGTTGTTGGTCAATTAGCGTATTTTAATTATCATACCTTCCTTTCATTTCATCCGTTGGCCAGTCATTGTATCCCCAGGGCATTTGAGTCGTACCGAGAATTAATCCAAATATAAAACCAAATAGTATAGAAATGAATATCCCAAGCAATAAACTTTTTAAACCAACGCATATTAAATCTTTATCGGCTATTATAGTTCCAAATGTCAATGACATTACTGGTCCCTAAAAAAGTATTAAAATTTTATAATTTTTGTAGCAAGCAAAATAATTTGATTGAGAATTCGTAGTAAAATAGCTTCATAGGAAAATCATTTTTTGATCAAAAATGATGATAGAAAAATAATTAATTACCATAAGAGGTGATACAAGCATAGCAGCAACAACATTCGTTGCGCTGTTTTCCACAAGACCAAGGGCTGCTAAACAGCTTAAAAATTTTTTATTTTACTACATATAACTAGAGTTAATAATTCTTTACTAATAACATTTAAGAAAACTTACTCTGCAGTTACAACTAAAAGTATGTAATCAAAAGTAAGATCTCCACCACTTCTAACTCCATCAACTACTTGTTTTACAGTCAACTTAGACCGAATTGAATCAACAAATCCTTCCCAAGCATTTCTTCGCTCTTCAATGTCTTTTCTTCTCGTCACTGAACCGATTACGCCAGCATCTATTGCAGCTGGTCCAGGAACTCGCATTGCGCTGTAAGTACACTGCGTTGGTATTACGCTAGAATAAAAAATTTTAATTAGTAAAAATTATTTTCATACCTTCATCTTTATTAATTTGTTTTTACCTTACAATGGAATTCATTCGAGTACCAATACCCATTTCAGTTAAACAATGTAGGCAATTCTCGCAAGGATCACCCGCCGGAACTGGAAAAATTACTTCATAATACATATTACCTTTATCTTTGCACCATACTACGTGTTCAACTTTTAATTTCTTCAGTAATTCATCTAAAACCTATTAAAAATGATTAAAATTTACTTTTTTAACAAAAAATAATAAGCAATGAATAATTAATTTAAAAAAATTATAATACTGTTTCCATCGGAACAAAAACTGGATTTCCACTTTGATTCGATCGAGCAGAAAGAGGAGACTGTAATCCTTTGAGCCGTGGTCTCTTTACAGCATTGAAAGCCTCGTCTTCATCTATCTCTCTAAAATCTCGACGTTGATGTTGATTATCATCATCATCATCATCATCGTCATCGCCATCATCACCACCAATTGTAATAAGTTGATTTTTATTTTTCGATTCTTTCAAACGTAAATCTACTTTAGGACCTTTTTTAATAACTTTTTCATTTTTTTTTGTAAGTTTTACGGGTATACCAAAGACCAACTCATGCTCATAAGACAACGTGGGAATGCAAACGAGAAACACAACACCTCCAGGCATATTTACTTTCTTAACAACTACCTACTGTCAATGATGCTCTAAAACTGAGTTCTCTGTGCTCTGAATCATTAAATTGAATTTTCAACACTTCTCTAATTAATACTAAACGCTAAATATTATATATTGTATAATTAGATTTAATAATCATGTTAATTTTATTTACAGGTTGTCTTATTCAAGTTCTCGAGTAACCAAACAATTCTTTGGAACCATAAATAATATATCAAACTCTACTTTTTAAATTTAAAAATAAAACTATGGTAATTATTAAAAAGTTTTTATTTATTTAGAATAAGTAGTATAATTATTCATCGTTATAAATTAAATTATGATTATAAAAAAATAAAACTATTACATATAATAGATATAGTAAAAATTTTGTTAGAATAATATTGATTTCATGACTTGTTATTGATTTAACTATAAAAAGCAGCTTAATACAATAATGGATTATGGTTTTAGGCAACGCAACGTTTTGACGGGAATACGTGACGTGTATTGGAAGGAATGAGCCGGAGGTTCATTGTTTCCATTAATATCTTCATCGTCACTATTACTTTGACCTATTTCTAAATCGGCGGCTGTTTCTAGCTCAACAGTAAACTCACGGTTACCCATTAAGGTGTTCAAACATAACTTTTGCTTTTTTATTTTAGCTCGAACTATTGTTTCCAGTGTAAATAAATGGTCGTCAAAAGCCTCAGGTATAAAGCGATGCATAAAATCAGCAAGTCTGTAAATAAATAGATTTTTATTAGCATTAACAACGAAAAACGTCTTTAGATTAATTAAATTAAGTTATTGCAATCGTTTTAGCGATTAACTATTTTTTTTTTTTTTTCAAAACAATTATCTTTGAAATTATATTCTATCATTTACATTTTTTATCATAATTTATTGAGTATTAATGATAATTTTGCAAAAACTAACCAGGATTAAAACAATTATTTTAAAAAATCAGTCATGACTTATTAATTCACCAAAGTCATAGATTAATTTATATATTTTCAGATAGCAAACTTGATTTGTAAATCTTTTTGCTTATTATAATTTATTAAAAATAACAATACTAGATTATTATTGAACAAATTAACGCGTAATACTGACAAAGGAAAAAAATAATTAATTTGCAAGTAAAAACAAAACATTTATCAATAAGTACTCATAAAATTATAATCATGAATGGTAAAAGATGTTATTTAATTTTAAATTACCTCAGAAGATATTCAACGTTGTGTCCACTAGGACCCTTGGAGTTTAGAATTTGTTCAGCCATGTCTTTCAAAGGCGCATCACCAAGCCAGTGCTCATTGTCATGTGTTGCAATGTAAACAACAACTGGAAAACAAAACTTCTTGTCACGAGAGTAAAAAGTGGTTATTGTTGTTAAATAACCACCTAATTTACATTCCCGATTATCGAGGTACGGCAATGCTGCACTTCCTTTTACTTCAAAGGCTCGCCCATATGTTATTTCCTAATAAATGAAAATCATCAATTTATTACTCGATATTTTACATATGATGAAATATTAAGTGTTAAATTTTATATTAATATTAATAATAATAATAATAATAATAGTAACCTCTTTGTTTTCCACAAGTGTGACAACACGTCCTGGCTGAAACACAAAAATATATTTATTTTACTTTTTTAAATCTCTGGTGAAATTGGAGATCGTGATATCAATTACCACAACAGATTTTATTTCAATTACTTTTACTGTAAAAAAAAAAAAACTTGTACAATTTTTGTAGTTATATATCATATTTACATTTACTTAAAAGCATTTGAATAAATAAATAAACAAAACATAAATTATTAACGTATACATTATCACTATGAATTATTTAATGCGTATATATTTTAATACACGTGTAATTTTAATTTATTTATAAACATTTGTTGTTAACATACACATATATATTTTCTCTATTTCTACATTAGTATATTAACTGCAGAGCCATAAATTTTTTTTCTTTTGGCTTCATTTCTTCGCACTTGTAAATATTTTATAAAAATATCTTTATAAGCAAAACCATAGACAAAAGATGTTAAAAATAACTTTGAATCTCCAACTATAATCTGATAAAAATTATTTAAAAAATTCATTCTTCTTTTAAAAAAATAATAAAATAAAATAATAGTATTACCTTTTCAGCGGTACCACGGTGTGTAGCATTTCCTTGCCAGAATTTCCGTTCAAATCCTTTAATGTGCCCAGTAATACTTCTATTGAATTCAAATCCGGGATTCCAACAAAGAGATCCATATCCAAAGATCCAGAGTCCATTTGTATCCGCCATACTTATTTTTATGTATATTCTTCTTATAAAGACCAGAAATGGAATTATTCGAAAATAATAAATCGAGCGCGGTGTGAAATAATACGGACTAATTGTATAAATAATGACTAAACCAGCAGCTCTTTGTTTGAAAGTCGGCAAACTTTTGTGTCAAAAAAACAAATCCATTGATTGACAAGTAAGAAAAAATTAATAATTATATTAAAATTTATTCAGTACTTTTTTTCCGAATCTTCCCGCCAACTTAATAATACTGTTATCCATTTAAAATATTTTTACCGAGCAAAGTAATTATCAACCGGTTGATTGTACTCGAGTTAACGGAGTAATGATGATACTACTGCCAATGAGCTTTAAAGCTTCCTTCCTTTCTCAGCCTCGGTATCTCTTTATTATATTTTTTCAGCAGATAGAACACGTTGAATCTAAAGAGATACTACTTTACTCCAATACACTTATATTTATAATATAATAAGAATAAGAATAACTATTCCTTATTATTTTCTTCTCCCACCTACTCCTTCGGTTTATAGACACGTGTGATACTCATTCTATATATCAATAATCTATCATTTTAATTCAATACAACTCATTATAACAACATAAATAATTAAAAGCATAATAATAATAATAACTATTTTTTTAAACCTGATAGTTTTTTAAATATTTAAAATTCTATATAAATGTAACATACTTCTTCGTTCAAGTTTGGAGGTCACTAGTCTCTTTTTGGCCATGTGAAAATGCATACTTCGTTTTTTTGTTAAATTAATTTCTCTTTTCATTCTCATACTCTGATACTTTAATTTATTATTATTAATTAATTTTCCTTTGATTAACATAACTATTTTTTTTTTTTTTCGTCTTTTTAGTCTTTTAACCACTTAAAGTTTTTTATTTAATTGTTAAGAAATTTGCTTTTTTATCTTAGCTAATTACCACCACAGCAACAACCGTTTGAACACATTATGGTAGATGAACACATTTTTTTATAATACAATACAAAAATTGACTAATATGAAATTTTATGGATTTATTTTTATATTACTTTTAATAATAATTTTATATTACTGTTTTAATAATAATTTTCTTTTTATAATTTGAAGATGTTTCGAAGGATATTGATTTTAGTAAATTTAAAATATATACCAAACAATGGAGTCACTTGCTTTTAAGTTTTACAGACAATGTTCTGACAGTAACGTAAAAATGTGTATCGTGGGTTGATCGAGTTGACGCACAACGGAGAGAATGAGAGAGAATAATACGGCAGACCGAGATAGACATATGTGAAGAAGGGGAAGACGATTCGGATGATGAAATACCCACGTGAAATTGACGTATACAGATCATCATCGGAATATAAATCACTTTACTGCAATTGTACTAATAATTTTTGACATTTTTTATATTAAAATATTTTTTATTATAATAAAAATAAAAATTGTTCTTATAAATTTTTCTATAGGTTAAATTCACTTCACTCACCTAAAATACATTCGAATGAAAATCAAGTTAGCCGACATTTCAAAATTTTTAAGAATTTTTTATTGAAAAAATTTCAATTAAACATTAAAAAAAAAAAAAAAAAATTTCACATGTAAAAAACTGGAAAAACTATAAGTGCAATTTTTTATAAATATCTTTTTAGTTGCAATTTAATTAATAAAAAAAATCAAAAATTTTTAGACGTCTGCTAACTTCAGTGTCATTACATTCGATTACTCCTGATTTTAAATCCAAATTATTTTAAAGTATTATATAAGTAAAAATTTGATATTATACATTTCTCAATTGACCATAGAGAGATTACTGACCGATGAAGTAAATTTTAAAAATTACAAAAATAAAAAATTCACAAAAAATTATACATAAATTTTTCAGTTACATAAATCAGCTTATGACTTAAAATTGATTTAAGTTTAATTAATAATTTATGTCATGAATGGATTTCTTATTTAAGGACGCGTATAAATATGAATGTAATATTATCATGGTCGAATTACGCGACCGCTAAATATTATGCTGTTGGTTTGACGATCAATTAGCATTAACAAGAATGGACGATTTACTCTAAATGCGTCGATCGATGATCCCATCAGTGGAACCACTGACAGTCCTGAAAAAAAAAAAATTAATAAATAAGCGAATAAAAAAAAATTAATAAATAAACGAATAAAAAAAAAATTATCAATAATACTTAATCATAATTTTGAGTTGTACTTGAAAAATATTTACAAACAATAAATTAAGTCAAGTAAAACGAAAATAAACTTGACTTTAACACCACTGACCTTGGTATTTTTTAATTTAAAATTGTACAACTTTATTTTTAAATATTCGCGTTAATCTTTTTTTTATTCAAAATATTAATTTTTTTTTAAGAATTTATTTACCTGTAACTGCAGCTGCAACAGTACCATCCTCATTGACTTCTATTTTGGCATTATGAAGAACGCTGTCAACTTTAGCACCGCCATTTATCAAAAAATTAGTAAAATTTGCATTTACGGTAAACAATTGTCTGATTCCCAACTGTAATTTATAATGTTATTAATATTTACAGGAATTATATAAAAATATTTTGATTATTAAATTAAATTTACCGTTTCGAGAGTTGAGCGCAAATCTGTTTTAGTTTCAACACTAAATCTAGGCATCAAAAGTATCAATTCTGTTTCTCGAAGACTGTTAAGTATTGAAGATATAGATGTATATGATAAATCTCTCGATAAAATTGATAAACTTTGTAGACCTTCCTTGGTTGGTAAGAAAACTAACATTGATATTTTGTCATCCTGAAAATAAAAAATTATCAACATATTACTCAACAGTCAAGCAATATCTAATATCTATTGTTGTTGACGAAAACTTACATCGTAAGGAATTTCAACAACTTCAGCTTTTAAATCCGGAATGGAGGCATAAAAATAATTGGAAACACTTTCCATCATCGGTACAGTATGACAAGCTTGATTAGGAATATTGAAACATCGATTACGAGTTAAGTTTTTATCGAATGCCTTTTTCCAGTTGCCTTTGAAATAAAGCGCGGATGTCAATAGTATTTTAGTCGCTGGACTCAGTGAGCCTGATGAAATTAAAAATAAACAGATAAGTTATAACTTGTGTAACTTTAATCTTTTATCTCTCAATTGTGATAAATAATATTACTTGAATCAACAATAGAGTCTATATGACCGCGGGTAAATTGCCGAACCCAGTTATTAATAGTTAATACTGTTGACTGGATGTTACTAAAGGCAACATTGCTGGTGTCACCGCCGTAATTGGATTTTAATATGTTATTAAAATTATCCGATAATTGAGTTCCCTGTTCAAGCCACAGGCGGTTCGCTGCATCGATTTCTGTTCCATTGGTAGTTGTCTAGATTTAAATTAAAATTAAATATTTAGATTGAATTAAATTTTTATTGTAAGAAATATTATATAATGCCTTGATTATTATTACCAACAAAGATTGCAGTATTTGTTTGGATATATCACGAATTTGCGATATGTCAGAAGGAAGTCTCAGAGCTGACAAAAGTTCCTCTCGAGTATCACCTCCGGTTGCCTCTGATAAAATAGTCAGAGCTGATTTAACACTTAGCGGTGAAATTACCACATTTCCTGTGGTCTGTTCGTTAATTCCCTATTTAAAAATAGTAAAAGTATTACTATGATGAATTAAAATGACAATTATTTTTTAACTTTTACCTGTAATAATTCAATGCCAAAATAATTATTCCGTTCTGCATTAAGTCCTGTCACCGATGGAACTAAAAATAGAATAAAATCAATTGTTAAAATAATATCCACAAACTGTGTAAACTTATTACAACAAATTTACGTCATTATTTATGGCCGTGAAAAAAGAAGAAGTCAGACAATTTTTTTATTTATTTAAAAAAAAATAACTTAAAAATTATAATTAAAAAAAAAAAAAAATTGAAAAAATGAATACAGAGAATTTTTTAAAATTAGAATTTAGAAATCGATTGAAAAGAAAATTGCAATAAATTACAGTTATTTTTATCAAGTACTTCACGGAAAAATGTTTAATAATCATTTTCTAGTAAAAAAATTAATTTAATCGACTATTATTTTTTTACCACTATTATTACCTTCAAATGTTTTACTAATAAGTATAAGACTTATTAACTTCCACATTTTAATATTTATAATTTCGACAAATCTTCAATTAGATAGAAACTCTCACACTAAACTAGCTCAAATTATAGATATAAATAAATTTTTGCCGATAGTTTGAATTCAATCGGGATTCCTTTTTCTCAAAAATTACAAAAAACATCTAAAAGTATTGTTCGTTTTTTTTTTTTTTTTTTTTTCAATAGGATTCTATTATACTGTGATATAATCACGTGAGTGTAAATATGACAATAGTATTTTTCTATTCACAAACCCTAGTTTTTATAATTATGTATTTCGAATGACTGGGCCTTTTGTCACGTATTCTACCAAAAATGAAACTCTCGGAATTCTCAGTTATAAAGTCATATCAACGAATAAATCAGTGTGTCAACACGGATACGGTCAGATTAAATGAGGTAGTCATTGTTCATACAATGAATAAGCTTGCTAGATAATTACAAACTTTAAGCTAATCCACTTGTGCCAATAGTCAGTGCAAATTAATTAGATTTCGTCACATCTGATTAAATTTTCAGAGCTCAATTTTCTGTTAATTAATTATTTAACTTAGAAGTTATTAAATTTTAAATACCATATGGACTTTGCATCTGTAGGACATTTAAGTGTTCTGGGATATTCTGAGACATCTCTCTATTACCACTGCCCTCCAGGGGGTTAATTACCCTACCCATGTACAGAATTGTCCCCATTGTTTCGTCTTCAATGTAAAAAATAAAAGGATGGTCGGCATAAAATGTTTGATCTGCTACTTTATTGCCAATGTTTACTTCTAAATATATTTAAAAAAAATTATATCAATATTAATTATACAAAATAATTGCTTATTTAATTAACAAAAAAAAAATTACCTGTAGCTGCAAAAGCAGTAGTTCCATTTTCATTGACTTCAATTCCTGCTTTCTGAATAATATCAGATACCATTAAATTTTGACCACGTTTTGTTTTTATGATTTTAGTCAGCGTTGCTGTGTTGTCAAAAATATCCCGGATACCCAACTAAATTTGTCAATAATAAGAAAAAAAAAGTTACTAATACTATTGTTGACATTAAGTATAAAAAGAATTAATAACTAATAAAATTACATCACGGAGTATCGGCTCAAGGTGACTTGTAACATCAAACTTAAAGATTGGAATCGTTACTTCGACTGGCAATCTCTGCAATAGCAGTGCGTGTCGTGCTAAAATAAATGGATTCACTTTGTTGATTAACATATCTAGCCCATCTACAGTCCTCGGTAGGATTATGTTCATTGCAAACTTGCGACCCTGAAAGTTAAAATAGTTAAATTTTAAAATATGATCACAGATAAAAAGAAATAATTATTATTTAAATTGAAATTTACGACGTAAGGGAGACGTAAAATTTTAGCATCGAGCTCTGGAGATTCTAGGAAATAGTAATTTCCCAAAGACGTCATATAGTTGACATCTACGTGCGTATCAGGTGATTGGTAAAATTTTTTGAACTTTGATCTGTCTGCAGTGAATTTATTTCCGTTCCAGAGGCCTTTAAAGTAGAGGACATTCATCACCAGCATCATTGAATCTTTAATTGTAGTTTCTTCGAAAAAAAAAAAAAAACATCGAGCTAAAAATTTTTTTACATGTATAAATTCAATGAAGAAGAAGAAGAAAATAAATATATGATATATAAAATACTAAAAATAGTAATATTTTTTTTTTTTTACTTTCTAAATGTACTTTATATATCTATGTATTATTAAAAATAAAAAAATTTATCAGTACATACCATCATCAATCATTTTCTCAATATTTCCGTTAGTGAGATTTCTAACCCAACTGTTGACATTATTAGCAGTTGTCCGAGCATCCGTAAAATTACTGGATACAATATCTGTGTTGTAATATGCTTTAACAATAGAAGCATAGCTTTGTCTTATTGATAAACTATTATTTAAGTAAATTCTTGTTCCAAGATTCAGAGTATACTCATCAGAAATTGGCTAAAAAGATATGATGAATTATTATTACTCAATTTTATGTAAAGTATTAAAAAATTCAATTGTTAGAGAAGAAAATTAAAAATTGATAGGATTATTTTACCTGAAGAGATCGTAAGATAGGTGAAAATTTATCTCTGACATTCCATTCATTTACCGGAAGCTGCAAAGCGCCTGCTAATTCGTAAGCTGTTTGGTCCTGAGCTCCTTCGAACAGTAAAACTAATGCTAATTTCAAGGACACTGGTGAGATCAACACATTTCCTTGATATTTATTTGCAATTAGCTGTAATTAAGTGAAATAAAATTAGTGAAGATGATACATATTTAAAAAATTTAAAGGTAATATTTATAAATAATTTTACTTTGTACAGGTTCCAATCGAAGACAGTGAAGCGTTCTCCTTGGTATGGAATAAAAATATCATCACTGTCAGAAATGAATTGTCTTGCTGATTTCACAGATGATCTTTTAAGTTTGGGTATTATAACTCCATTAGTGTCATCGATAAAATTCACCCACAGGAGTGTCAAATTTATCAGCATAACTATTAAAAATTCCAAGTTGAATAAATATATTTTTTATTGTTGGTAATAAAAAAATAATCATTCAATATTGAATGTTATTAAAATTGTCTGTATTTACAATTCGTTTTAATAATAGACATTTCAATATAAAATAATCCAGCCTTGACCTTAAGTCAATTAAAATTCAAGGACACTTTTTAGAAACTAAATCTCTACTTTTAGTGATATTTAAAAATTTTTAAATAATTTAACTGCACATTTATTGTTATAAATTTATATAAAAATTTGTTAGCAAAAAATAATCTAAATGTTAATTTTAGTGATTAAAAAATAAATTAAGAAATTACCTATATTTATTTTCATTTTGCCGAGTTTTAAATATCAATTTGTTTGTTGGTTTTTTTTTTTTTTAAATTAATGGAGTCACGTTACTTGTTTACTTTTTCAACTTAAATTTTAAATACTGTGAACATAGCGTGTAATAAAGCTTTCAGTCGCGTCCTGATGTCTCGCGTGTCGGTTTAGATTGTAATAAAATGTAAAAACCGGCCTGCGGTCGTTGGTCGCGCTTTCGATGGACTATAAGAGAGTAGGAGAAGAATGAAGCGAAGAAGGGATCTGGGAAAACCCAGAAAAATGTTATAAACGTTATTAATTTTATACTTATACACGCATAAATTATTATAAAAATTTATCATATCACAACGATGAATTGATTATTTTAATCGTAATATTTATTTATTTCCTATTTAATTTAGTCTACACACTTACATCTTCAGGCATTTAATTTCCTTGTTTAGAGTTATTTATTTTTAAAAAAAGTTTTAAAATGAATTTTGATGAAATTATTTTATTTGTAAGTACATACTAAGATATTGAACCTTGATTATTTTTTAATTTTTATTTCTATTTTATTTTTATTTAGCACCAGCATTCTGAAGTTGATAATATTTTTGGATAGCACGGTGGACGAAAATTGTTGCTGCATCAAGATTATCTTGAGTCATAAATGCTCTCGCTAATTCGGACACCTGTTGTTTAACCTGAAAAATAAAAAATACTTTTTAATTCTATTCATTAAAAATAAAATTCACAATTATAATCACTTGTTACCTCTTTTTTATCAAGATTTAGTCCAGAAAACGTTATGCTACAAACAGGAGTGAAAATACAGAGGGATGTCGTTATAGCCAATCCCGCGACGAAAAGAGCGGTGAATTGGAAAAAATATCCAAATGCGCGAGCTCCATAAAAAAGAGCGAAGCTTCTGATGGGCACCAAGCTGGTAATGATTGTTGATAACCAATTGTATGAAGATGATGACGGTGTTGATGGAACCAATTGTGTATTATCTGATTGAACAGGCTTGTACTCTGGGTAAGCTGGGTAGTAGTTGTTTAATGGCAAAGGCTCGTAAGTTACTAGAGATGGTGTTTGTTGAATTTTTGTTCCTTCTGCAAACTGCGGTTGCTGGGTTGTGGGTTCCAGTGGTCCTCCGTAAACTGCAGATATTACTACCAAAATTATAACTGTGCGATACATTTTAGAGTCTGCTAAAAAGATAAAAGATTAAAGTATTTATTAAAAATCTTTAATTAATTTTTTTAATATTTTTTTCTACCAATTTTTGTTTTTTCTTTTAAGAATTCCAGAGCTTGAGAAAATACTCCACTGAAGACTGCGAAATCAAGACTGAACTATTTATTCATATTTCCTACGTTTTATACCCGCAAGGATGACACGTCCTTTGTCCTATTCACCAATTGTTGTGTCCTATTTCCTTAAATACGCTATTGAAATTCATGCTTTCAAGAAAATAAGCGTAGTATAATAAGCAACACTAAATATTCAACGGTTTTAGGTTTCAATTTTATAATTTTCTTAGTAGATTCTAATATTACACTAATTGATGGGTTTAAAGATTATTCTATAATAGAAAAACATTTTCTATGTATGAAATCTAATGAAGTGAAAAATCAGCTTAGCACTAGGAAAGTAAAATACAATAAGTTTGAAAAAACTAATAATTTTTTAATACTCTTAACAATATTATAATATCTTGCAATTGATTAATTTATATTTATAAATTACATTTATCACGAGATTTATCTTGTAGTCAGTAATAAAATAAAAAAATATCTTTTAATAGCATTGTATTATCCCGTCACTACGAGAAAAAATGGATAAATTCAGAATTATCGATAACAACAATTACTGAATTTAATCTTATACCACAAATTTTTTTTATAATAATTTATGTAATTATATGCAAGTGTAATTATGACATCTTATTTTTTAACAAAATTGATTCATCAGCAATTTGAGCGCGTAGTACTTCAATGTCATCATCGCTGCTATCAGAATCAATTATTATCCTTTTACGCTTAGAACGAGTATCTTCTGAGACATCACGTTTTCTTTTTCTATTCCTTGATGTATTTTTATTTAATCCAACTTCTTCGATTACCGTTATTTCTTCAGAAGAAAGTTCATTTAGAGCTTCATCGCCATCTTCTACACAAAACGAATCCTATAGAGGAAAATTTATTTTTTAATAAATTAATTTAATAAAATAAACCTTTAGAAAATTTTAAAAAAATATACTTACATAAAGATACGAGTTAGGTTCATCAGGGATGATTTGAGAATAAATTTGTACTTCAGGAGAAACTGGTTTAGGTTGTTTGATTATAAATTTACCGGGTCTGCGCGGACTCCGTACACTCTGGAGATAGTGAGCTTTCATGTCAACAGAATTGTCATGGTACTGAGTATAACTGACGAAATCCTGAAGATCTGCGCCATCATCATCATCTTCAGAGTATCCTGATGAATGATTTTCATCTGAAGATACGTCAGCTTCGTCATCAATAAAATTATTTTTTCTTCTCCGCTTCTTCCGATGATGTTCTTTCAACTTCTGTTTTTTTGGAAAACTATCAAGTGAGGTAGACTTTTTTGTTGCAATCCATGAAGAAGTTGACTGTACACCTGGTTTAGACGATGATAACTTTGAAACAACTTTGGAAGTTGCAGCAAACTTATTCAAGTTTGACGTAGATAATGACTTTGGACTATTGACTTTTGGAAGAAATGAATCAGCTTTAGCATTATTTTTTGGAGGAGAATCATAAGTTCGGCCATTGCCTACACTTAAGCGGCTCTGGAAAACATTTTTAACAATCTTCGTTGGTGCAAAATCACTGTCCGAGTCCGAAGAATCCTTTCTTCTGGATTTAGGATTAAAAGTTAGGATGGGAAGACAATTCTTTTGCGGCTTTTTCGATTTTACTGAGTTTCCTTGTTGGATTGTTTTTTTCTCAGCCGTTTTTGTCGACAACCAATTTGGATTATTTTCTTTTTGATTTTTCTGCAAACAAATTTTATCTGCAATTGACGTTGATTGCTTACTCGTTGTAGCAGAAGTTGTAGAAATAGTTGATGGATTACTTCCGAAGTATTTACACTCTGTAATCGGTGCAGACGATGTCTCAAAATCACTGTCCCAATCACAATCATTAACATACGTTTCTATTAAATTGGTATCTACAGTAATAGGCTCTAATGACAAATTCCTGTCATTTTTTTTCAATTGCACAGGACTAGAACAACTCAATGGCAAAATACTCTTCAAATTATCCAATTCTTTCAGTTGATTAACTTTATTCTCACTATCTTTCCCTGTATTATTCTCGCTCTTTTTATCCGAATTTAACTTTTCGACATCACGTAATTGTTCCTCGAGATCCGAATCAGCGACCAAACTTTCACAATCAAAAATGTCATCATCTGAAAGCGTAGTACAATGAATTTTTTCATAAGACTCGCCCACCACTTCCAATGACTTTTTATTTGAAAAGTCAAGTGTACGATTAAATTTTGACTGATTTGACCTACGGTGGCTTGAACTCTTCACTAAATCAGGTGAATGACAATCATCTTTTTTATTTTCACTTTTTTCTTCATTAGTCATTTTTATTAGTTTATTCATCGTAGGTTTTTTAATATTATCTATTGAGCTTTGTGAATTCTTGACTAGATTTGAGCTTCTAACACCATTCAAAACATTTTCCGGTTTTTTTACAGGTGAAATTTTGATATTTTTATCTTGTGATTTAATATTTTTTTGAAAAACTTTTTTTTCCCAAGAACCAAAATCACTATCGAAATCAATGTTATCAAAATTATCTTGACTTGAAGTTAAAACTTGACTTGAAATTTCTATATTATTTGTATTTTGACTTTTAATAGGTTGTATTAGATTGGGTTTACTTATTATTAACGTATCAGAGTCAGTCACAGGAAGAGTGTCTGCTTCTAAATTATTTACTAATACTGTATCTGGTTCTAAATTATTTACCAATACTGTATCTGCTTCTGAATTATTTACCCGCTCTGTATCTCTATTTAAATTATTTACTCTCTCCGTATCTGTTTTTAAATTAAATACTAATGCTGTTTCAGGTTCTACATTATTTATTATTTGTAGCTCAGGTTCTAAATCAACTACCCGAGTATCTTCTTCAAAATCACTAATCGGAATAGTGTCGGTTTCTATTTTATCGATTAACACCGTATCAGCCTCATAATTATTTATCGCAGGTACAATATACGATTCACGTACATCAATCAGAACATTAGTTGCTTGCCTAGTTGAATTTAAATTATTCTCACACTTTTCAAAATTTTCAATAATCTCAACACTCTCATCTGAAGAAGTATTCAGTAAATCCTCAAATGCTCCACCTGTCACAACAGAACTCTTGTTTAAGGTACCCTCTTTGGAACTTTGATCATTTTTATTCGTGACATCAAGAAAGTCAGTCAAATTGATCCTTTCATGAGCCGGAAGAACTTCATCCGGTCCATACAAGTCCTCTTCGTCGGTAGAGTCGTCCAGCAACGCTTCAAATTTACTTTTCTGAAGAAATAACTCATTTTGCTTACTGCTATCACTTTTATTTTGGTAATTACTTCGATTTCCGTATTTATAATCAGCCTGACTATCACGATCTTGATTGTAATCAACGAAATCATTATCCCAGTTATCCATGTCGTCATTGAAAAACTCAGAAAACTCATCACCCTTTTCCTCAGCTGGCTGTACATATTCCGTTAACGATAAAATACAATCTAGAATTCTAAAGGACGGTATTTTTAAGTTTTCTAATATATCTTCTTCACAATTCATGAAATTAGGCATGAATGTAAAGTTCAAGACTCTAGTTTGCTTCTTCAAAACTTTTTCCGACTCTTTCATCGCGCACAGCGTGAGAAAATTCGAAGCTTCAAGATCCGAGGACAAAATTTTAGCATCTATGGGTTTTATTCTTACAGCATTGGTACTCAATTTGCTGATGATTGTCGGTATTATTCGCGGTACTTCTTCAACTCGCATACAAACAACTTCGTCATCTTGCATACTACTGTCCCTACAATGAGAAGCGTTTGAGTTTTGAAAAAAATTCATCAGTGATGACTGTTTCCCTTTTTTGGTACGTGGTTTATTGACTGTACTTATCGATTCATCAACATCTATATCCATCTCGACTTGATCCTCGAAATTGTCTTTCAATTTCTTTTTCGTGTACTTTCGTTTAAGCTGCGTTTTATTCTTCTTCGTATCGGTGGATTTCTTTTTAGACCTAGCTCGCGGTGTCACTGGTATCACAGTCATTTTCATTCTGCAGCACTCTGGATCCAAGTCATCAGGAATCATCCGCGGAGAGTTGTCGTTCAATACCTCTCTGATTTGTTTCGACTGTAAAACTTTAGTGTTGAGATTATCCTTGGATATCAAAGCAGACTTCAACGTTTGGTGTTCTTTAGAGTCTGTGACAAGAACAATGACCCGACCATCACGTTTCCTTCCAGTTCGACCAATTCTTTGGACCAAACGCGTGGGTGTTTTTCCAGTAGTATCGAAACAAACGATCAAGTCAACTTCTCCAACATCCAAACCTTCTTCACCTACGGATGTAGAAATTAAAACATTCACTTTGTTATTGCGAAAATCTTCAATCGCTCGTTTCTGCTGTGCTTGCTTCATTAAATGAGCCTGACCGACAAATATTTGTGGCCTTATCAGCGGCTGTAATTTATACAACGAGACATAAATTTCGCTAACTGACTCTCTAAATTCTGAAAAAACAATAACTCGCGTACTGATATTATTCTTCTGAGCGTCAGTGAAATATTCGGTGAGTATTTCTTGCAACCTTTCGTATTTACGATGACCGTACACGATATTCATATCAGCGAATGCCTTATCATTACCCTCCATCAATGCTTGTATATTTGGAAATTCACCAAGGTAATGACCAACTTCTTCCAATAAATCCTGTAACTCAGGTTTGTCATTAATCCAGGGTTTATCTGAGTGATTTTGATAGAATTTATGAAACGTTCTCAGCCCATGATAAATCATCAAATCCTTGGCATAGACCATCGTTGACAAAATGTTTATCGTATTGTACAACTCACCATAATTGAACCTCTTGTTTCTGTTCTTTTGAAGATCATTGCGTATGTAAAACATTTTCCCTTTGCTTAATGACGAAATATCCATTTTAATAATATTATTTTTAAGTAAAACTCGATACACCGGATCCATTATATTCATGTATCTATCATAAAAACGTTTGAAATCGTCATTCATGCCGACCTCAACGATCTGCATATTTTTCTGATTGATGTACGGTAGAATATCTGGCGAAGAATCATCTCTCAATTCTAAACGCGAGATGTGAAGATTACGAATTACTTCTTGTACTGCTTCTAATTTGCTTCCAGGTGTTGCTGAAAGAGCTACGAGTCTATAATATTCATTTTTTTCATTAAGTAAACGTACACACTCGCAGTAAGCGTGCTTACCTAGGGCACGATGTGCCTCATCGATTATCACACACTTGACCAATTCTTTAGGGATTATATCTTTTGCCAAATCATACTGAAAAGTTTGGGGTGTCGCGAATATCACACGTCTTTCGTGCCAAGCAACCTTACGTTCCTTTTGATGAATCACACCTGTCAATTGTATTGTCTGGCTGATGGGAATTCCCATGATGTCATGGCACGCTTCAATCTGCTGCGCCACCAGAGGTTTCGTGGGTGCCAAGAATACAATTATACCTCGAGGGTACCAGCGCCAAAAATTGTACATCACTACTGCAGCAATGAATGTCTTACCCAATCCAGTTGGCAAGCACACCAGGGTGTTTTGAAATAACGCTGTTTTTACAATTGAAAATTGGTACTCCCGCACTGGGTAGTTCTCAGGATAAATGTATCTTTTGCCAGCTGACTTGTCAAACCCGACAGTGCTTGGATCCGTTGAAAACAACGGCTCCTGAGACAGGAGATCCATTGTTTTTTTTTTTTTATGGTTTAGCTTCTGAAAATTTATTGATCTAATTAAAAATTTTTTTTTTTTTAATAATTATTGGATTTTATTAAACTTACTTGAGATAAAATTATGAGTGACAGTAACACTCATGGTGTATTTCTGACGATTTTTCCATTTTGTTAATAATTTTGACAACTACCATAATTGATAAACAAAAAAACAAAATTTTCAAAACTTTGATAGGAAAATCAAAATAATGTATTTATTTACACGATAATGACAATTACGCGCGATGAGTATATACTTACTATGAGTACAGATAACCTATAGAATAAATGTTGATACTCAATATCAATGACAGATGTCGCTTACGAAAATTTTTACAAATAAATTTAGAAAATATTTTATGACATTGAAGTTAGCAGTCACTTGACCATTTCTAATTTTTTTTTAACAAACAAATTTGGTCCCAAAAATTATCATTGAAAAATTGCATTTTGAATTTTTTAAAATTTCTACATGTCAATTTTTTTTACTATAATTTATTTGTTAAAAAAATTCTGAAAATTATTAAATATCTGCTATATTAATTTCCATAAATATTTTATAATTTTAAGTTAACTTAAAAAATATGAAAATTGAGAAATAAATAATATGTTATATACTAAAGTATTTTTATTATACTAAGTGTTTATAAAATTTTAACTGTCAGAATAACTTTAATAACTCAACTAGCTTAAATTCTACTTAACTTAAAATAAATTTCATTATAAGTTATACTGCTTACAGGCTACGGATGAATATTCAAGACTTTAGAAACTCAGTCTAATTAATGCATTAAAGTTATTAATTGATCAAATATGTAGTAGTCAATTATTTAATAATTTTATTATACTGCAAAGGATATAAAATTGTATGGTAAACTATTTTATTTTATTTTTATAAAAAAAAAAAAAAAATTACAGATATATTTTACACATGTTTGTTTAAAAAATAAATACTTTTAATAATGATTTACTGTGACTGATTTTATATTTAGGTCTGATAAAAAATTTTTTTCGCAAGCTGTAAGATTAATGAGGAAAAAAATTTTCTCTTTCCTTTGGTTTATTGGTTTACTACTGCATTTGTGTATAATTAAATTTAGCTGTTTCCTGACGTATCACTGATATTAAATCTTGATTTATTAAGAATATGAATCGGAGCCCAGAAATCTAAAAAATACGTTTTTTTTTTATTAATTAGCAAAAAATTATTTCGTCCTTGAGTATCGTATTACACGAAATTACAGTAAAATTCATTAAATAATTACCTCAATAACACTATTGTTATTTAATTTCATTTTATTTCCAGCTAATATCGGTCTGCTGTCAACAAAAATAGGTCGTTTTCCTTCAGAAGAAATGAAAAAATCTCCATTATTTCTCAAGCGAATAGTTCCCTGTCGACGTGAAATTTTCCAAGCCGGTCCTTCAAGCGATAAATCTACATCAACGTTATGATCTTTTGTCGACCGACCAACTGTAATCTTTTCAAACAAGCAATAATTAACAATAATGAATATTCAATAGTAATAATTATTAATAAATAAATTTACCTCTTTGGATCTCATTAAATAACGTACAAGTCTCCCACGTAGAATGGCCAATGTCTGATTATCGAAATCTGGTGGATTAGTACCCGCGACATTGTCAACAAGTACTTGCCATCTACTTAATTCATTTTCCAATACTCTAATTTCTTTTTTATTTTTCCGATCAAAAATAGTCATCTCAGAATCATTGAGCTCATCTTTTTGTTCAGACAATTCCATATCATTAAGCGCATCCTCAGCATCAGAAAAATTAAGAATATGTTCACCGCGAGACATCTGCTGAATAGTTTGATCAGGCAATAAATGATACTGTTTCATTAGCTGCCAGTGCGCCATCAGAGCTTTAGCGGTTCTTGCTGGATAAAATGCTTGAGCATTGGTCTCCAAAAGCTTCTGGAATGTTTCTAACATCGGCTGGGATGTCTGCAATATTAAATATTTTAAAGATCAGATTAATAGAAACTAGTGACTCTAAAAAATTCGGCTGTGTTACAGGTCTACTCATAAAATCTCTACTCACAGCTATCAACGACATCTGCAATCAGTTACATTTTTATTTGAAATCATATTCATTCAATCAAATCTTGACTCTTATTCAACTTTACTCAATATTACTAGCTTTCAGGTAGAATTTTAATCAGTTACAACCTTGTAATGTAAAAATTCGTGAGTAGAGATAAACTTGAGTACAGTTGTAAATGATTACAAATGTAAATGAATAGATTTTTTGTGAATAGAGATGTAACTGAGTTAAAAATCCAGTAAATAGACTTGAAAATGAATACAATTGAAACTGAGCAAAGTTGTAATTGACTACTGTCGAATTTGAGTAAGGTTGTAACTGATTAAAGTTCTACCTGAAAGCAAGTAATGTTGAGTAAAGTTGAATCAGAGTAAAGATTTGATTGAATAAAGTAGTGACTGAATGGATATGATTTCGAATAAAAATGTAATTGAGTGCAGTTGACGTTGATAGATGTGGGTAGAGATTTTATGAGTAGACCTGTAATACAGCCAAAAATTCAAGTGTTTGTATTTGCTATTTTATAATTATTAAAACCTACCGATTTAACTGTACCAAGGAGATCTTCTTCAGCTTTGCTATATAAAGTACGGGCTTGCACGCTGGCTATCAATTCAGGATGCAAGTTTCTCATCGCTTGTACAGCAACTCGAGATACATTGCTGTCATAAAGCAACGCATACCATCTCTGCTGAATTTCTTGCAGAGTGAAACGACATGAAAATTTAGTACCTCTGTGAACCATTTTCAAATCGTTGGTCTGCTGGACACCAGTGATGAGTGCGAGGTCGTCAGTTGGTTTCCATCTGCCCAAATCCTTTGTCGCGTTTACTGAATGGGGATGATTTTTATTCTTCTTGCTCTTCCTCCCTGATGTGTTGGTTCCTGGCTGTCTGCTGGGACGTCGGTTGATGCGGTCTGGCTGGAGAATCACTGGCACTGTGATTGTATGCACTACCGGTGATTGAGGTACAACATCCATCGGGGTGGTTGAAACTGAGACACTTCGTGATCGTGAATTAGATTTAGTACTAGATGCTGGTGGTTGGAGATTGAAAGTTGTCTCCACCAATTCATCATCAAATTTTCTACGTTTTATTGTACGCGATGAACTAAAAAAATTTTAATTATTACATCTGAATATTTACTTTATTCATGGTAATAATTATTGATGAAATGATTATTGATTTTTTGTTTACCTGCGGCGTTTTGTTCCCATTGAATCAATACTTGATGGTTCCATTGATATATTGAGGTTAATCAACATAAATATATATTACGATTTTTGTTGTTCAATAATATTATTGCGTCTTTTTTTTTATTCGTTGTGTTTTGTTAGTTATATGGTAGATGTCAATACTACTTCAATTCTAAAAATCGAAATTTCACTTACCGACAAATCACTTAACGCGAAAAATAATACTAAAAAAAAATTATAAAAAATAAAATTATTTAAACCGTAAGTAAATAATTACATTATTTAAACTTGTCATTAATTTATTATTTGTATTAAATTTTTGTATTGAATATTACTAAAGAAAAAATTAGTTAAAAACATTTATTTCAAAATTTAGCAGTCCCTGGTGTTGAAGTCTAGAAGTAAAAATAGAGGAAAAAAATTTTCCACTAAAACGTGAATGAAAAGCATCATTATTTTTTAAAACAATCTATATTGTTAAATATTACTGTTGACTTTATTTAAAATTACAAAACGTTTTTTTTTTGTTATATAAAAAAAAAAAACAGTAAAAAACGTTGCTAATCCTTTGATAACTAGAGCTATAAATAATCGGTAACGAGTTGGATAACTGCTTCTGAAAACCTCTCACACAGGTAAGGTTGGAAAATTAACACGATTTTAATAATTTATTTATCAACAGTAATAAGTTTTTAATTGAAAATTGATTTATTTAACTAGAAATTTTTAGCTAAGTAACTGGAATTTGTTTGATGAATTTGGTGGCGTTACACATCCATATGTCGTAGGTCTGATGTTCTTTGACGAGAACTTTTGGGGTCAAGTGGATTGAGAACATTGGAATGATGTTATATTTATTTGCTAATGAATATCTTCAATTTAATTTATACTTAATTTAATATTTTTAAGAGATCAATTAATTCATGATTTGGCATTGCTTTCTTTTTGTATCAGAAACAATCGGAGCAACTGAAAAAAAAAAAAAAATGGCACGAGGACACCAAAAAATTCAATCCCAGGCTAAAGCTGCTGAAAAGAGTGCGAAAATGAAAAAACAACAAGGCCACAGTGCTAATGAACAAAAAAAGGCTGCCCAGAAAGCCCTTGTTCATGTCTGTGTTGTTTGTAAGGTGGGTATACATAATTCTTACTATAATTATATTTATATGTACGTTAATGTATTTATTTTACAATAATAGTCTTATCATATATTTTATCGTTGAGAAATAACTAGTTTATTATTTTCAATTATATCGATTTTTTTTTTTTAATTATATTTTATTATTACAATAAATATGTATTATTTTTATTCACATAATTCTTGAACCGTAAATTCAATGTAATTATCAGAAGTATTTTGTGATTTCTGATAAGCAAAGACTGAAAATATGTTTTCTGCCTTATTGTGTATTGTGGATTAATTAAAGTATATATTTTTTTTTTTTCCATAGGCTCAGATGCCAGATCCTAAGACGTATAAACAACATTTTGAAAATAAACATCCAAAGAATGACATGCCAGATGATTTGAAAAATATATGAAGGTTGTTATTTCTGGTTTGGTTGTAAGATAATTAAGGCGAATCAAGTAATAAAAAAAAAAAAGAGAGAGAGAGAGAGAGAGACAATTAATATTTGGAATTCGAGTGACTAACCAAACTATCAATAACAATTATAATAATAATAATAATGAATGTATAGGTAATAAATAAAAATCGGATAATTTCTATTAAGACATGAGACAAAAATAAAGCATCGCTGCTACAAAATAGAAAAATAAATTTAAAAAAAATCAAATATTTGCGTTAGATAGTAAACTCGTCTCATCTCTATTTTAATTGCCAATTATTTTTAATTAATTGTATCCACACAATTTATTATTAACTATTAAATATTTTTTTTAAGTATTCATTAATGTTAATTGATATTTTTATGTAGTTATAAAAAAAAATTTTGTACAACAGCACAAGCTTCAAAACGGATATTAATAATAATAATGATGATTCTTTTATTCAAAGTATGTAATTAATTTAAATATTCATAATTATAATGATAAACATAAAGAAACGTGAATCGATGTAGAAATAATTAAGAATACGACTTAATGAAAATGTCAAAATAGTAAGATAATGAAAGATTTAAAAAGTAGAATGTAAATAGATAGATAACTTTCAAAACATTTTTTAATTTTTAGTATGTATGATTTAGTTGTTGTATTATTTGAAATGGTAATGGGTATAGTTTTAGTTTTCAAAATCATTGAATCACGTGTCTTTACATTGAGGTATTTTATTCAGTGAATCGTACTCCTTGTTATATTACTCTAAATATGCTTACGATTTTCTTATTATAATAATGTAATACTTGTGATTATGACCATGATTATAATGTAGATCACTGATACGATACAAAACTGCCAATTTCACGATAATTTTAATAATGTAATCGTTGAAAGTAACTGATAAAGATAAAAAATATGTTACAATTCACAAGTATTGTCTTGTTATTTATACACATATATATATATTTTTTTTTCATGGTAGACTTATTTTTAATTTAAAATTTATCAAGACCACGAAAAAAAAAAAAAATTAAAAGAATAAAATTGTTAAAATTAAAAAAATATATATATTTGTTATATCTTATCATAGAACAATTCACCAAAAAAGTTAAAAGCGGTGATTCCCATATTAAAGAAACAATTATATTTTTAATTATTTTGTTTGCGCGTTTTTTCTTTCTGATGTAATACGTCAGTTAACAAATCAAGAAGCAACCATCAACAACTAAAAAAACAAAAGTCTGTAGATTAATAAAAACACTATCAAATAATATTCGTTCGACTTGAGCAAGTGTAAATTTCGTAATAGACATCATAATAGCAACAGAATATCGTTATACTGATTAATACTATTGAAGGAATTAAATTATCTCTATTTTTTTTTTTTGTTCACTTTATCAGTCCGACTCGTGGCGTACTGGCCCCTCAGTATATAAATAAGTGGATCACGGGTATCGGTGCCAGTCTTTTAGAATCTCACGACTAATCCTCTAGTCATTTTTAAATTTATTTTAACAAAAATGGATTTAGTGTTTCGTACCCGAACTCCTGGAGCCGCTGCCGAAGGTGTACGCGATCAGTATGCCGATGGAAAAGCCGCAGAAGTATGGAAGACTTTGATCGGAGACAAAAAACAACGTACTCAGGTTTATAAAGACTTTTTAGTGGGTTTGTTACGTGAAAAGGGCTGCAAAAGGATCCTTGATGTAGCCTGCGGTACTGGTATCGACTCAATAATGTTAATTGAAGAAGGCTTTGAAGTCGTTAGTGTCGACGCTTCCGACAAAATGCTTAAGCATGCCCTCAAGGACCGATGGGACCGTAGGAAAGAACCTGGTTTCGATAATTGGAGTAATTATATTTTTTATTCTTTATTATGTTATGTTAATATTCAATTAACTTAACTATGTTGTTCCTTTGAATTGATTTATAAATTTCTGAGATAAAATTTCAAATTTAGATTGCGCTTATATAAACTGTCAACTTGAAAGTCAAATTATTATGATTGAATTGATATTTATTAGTTATTTTACAGCTTATCTGGACAGTAATTGACTAACATATTGAGTAAAATTTAATTTCATTATGATCAAGTATAAAAAAAAATTCAGAAAATATGCACGTAAAAAATGTAATATGTACGTGTAGATTTTCAGTAAAATGTGACGATAAATTTATAACTTGTTTATAAAAATATTTATGAACAATTTTAAACTAAAAGTTTTTTCAAGTCATTGTAATTTCAAGTCCATTTAGTTAATGTAAGTTTCTTGTACGTTTATTCCTTTTAGTCATTATATTAGCTGACATTGAATATTTATTTCAGGCTTATTACTGGCAATAAATAATAATCTTTTTAAAAATATAAATTTTTATGTTCTAAAGCGATGTCTGAATTATTGAAATATTCAAAAGTCACAATTTACTATCTTTATTAAGGGTTTTATAGTTAAATTCTGTATTTATATTTTTGTTTATCTCAATCTATTGATACAGTTGTATTTATTGATAATTTTTATGAATATTCAACCATCTTATATGTCGGAAGTATTGCAGCTGATAACAAAAATATATTGTAATTTATAATTATAAATTTTAATTGAAGTTCAAATTATCAGTGGTAAACTTTATTATAACTGTTTAAAAAATGTTTAAATAATAAATAATACGATTAATGATTATCAGTATATTTACAGACAGGGTCATATAATTTTTTGATTGAATGCAATAATTGACTTAAAGTATATTGTGTGATAATATTTTATAATTATTGATAATTGTTCTGTTTTTTTTTTTTTTTTTTTTAACTTATATAAGTTATTTTTGGATTATTAGAAAGGCAATGAACTCTGATAAACTATCTGAGATATAAAAATTAGTTTTTAATAACTTCAAATGCAATAAAGTTATTTGCTTCAAATAATTTTTCATTATAATTACAATTATAACAATAATAATTTTTATTGACTGTATTTTTTATTTTTTAGTTATCGAAGAAGCAAACTGGCTAACTCTAACGAAAGACATCAAGCAGCTAATCGGCAGCGGTTTTGACGCCGTAATCTGCTTAGGAAACAGTTTCGCTCATATCCACGACGCTTACGGCGACCAGAGAGAACAAAAACAAATATTAAAAAACTTCGAGATGTGCTTAAAACCAGGAGGCTTTCTTCTTATCGATCACAGGAATTATGATTATATTTTGGACGGCGGGGTCGCACCGGCGAGATGCATTTATTATAATGTAAGAACAAAATTTTATTATTTTTATTTATAGTCCTCAGGGTAACCAGAACCCACTTTAAAATTTTCCATTAAATTGAGTCGAGATTCAACACAGCTCCGCTGATGGATGAAATAAAATAATAATAATTCATCCATCATCTTAGTATAATTTTCAAGGGTGGATATTTCTACCCGGGCTTAAGTTACCTTGATTAATAGAACCTGAAATTCAATAATAAAAATGAGTAATAATATTGATCAATTTATCAATTTAAATAAAACAAAAATAACCAATGAATTTTCCTTACTTTTTCCAGAGTCCGCATACCAAAGATATAAGAACGTCCGTTTATTGGGTTTCTGGTGAGCCACAAATGGTCATCCTGGATTACTTCTTGTCCTTGGATGAAAATAACGATGATCCAGAGAATCGAAATGAATTTCGCTTATCTTACTATCCCCATCGACTTAATGTCTTTCGGGACATGTTAAGAGAAATATTTTCCCAAAAGGACCATAAAATTTTTGGTGACTTCAAACCTCTTAATGAGGTCAAAGTACCGGCATTTTTTATTCATATCATTGAAAAAAAGTAATCTCATTTCATGTTATAAGACTGGAATTTTTGTAAAGATCTTAAATAAATAAAAATAACTATAATAATAAATAAAACTTTTTAATTAATAAAATAATTTGTTTATGAGATATGTACGATAAACGTACATAAACTTTATTTCAGATTATTTTGTATAAATAGTAAATATACACGTTGGAAAGCCAAGACTAGAAGGTATCCCTTGATTTTATTAAAAATTAATACATTTCATTATTTTATTTATAATTTCTTAAAATAATACGTCGTGAAAATGAAATGCAAATGAGCTCCGATAATTGCACAGTTATTCACTTTATTTTTCATGTATTACTTATATAATTGTTTTGTTTTATTCAGCGTGAAAAATAAAACTTTATCTTCAGTAAGAAGAGCAATTTACGTCAAGGGATTTTATTTATTTATTTATATTAATTATCATTTAAATGACTAGAATTTTTTTCGCAACATCGCGCACAGCCCAAGTAAAAAGTTGGACGAACAGTTGTGATAGCAAAATTTTACACCCTCTCACGATTCCTATAACAATGTTTGTTCATTTATTATATATTTGTTCAATATATATTTATTTAATACATTTTTATTTATATTTATGTTTATTTTTATTAATCTTGTTCTTAATGTACTGTCGCTTCATTGTTCGTCATAATTAACTTCAATTAGACCCGTTTCATAGCTCTGTCTTTCAATATCATACACAATAACTAAATCCATATATTTTCTTTTTTTCTTTCTTTAAATTAATTAATTCACTCATTAAATAATTGATTGATTGATTTATGAAATTATTTATTAATTTTTTTTGTAACTTTGTCGTTTTATTATTCTCATTAGCTGTTTTAAGCGATGCAAAAATAATATTATCCTAAAGTTTGCACATTGTTTTCGAAGCAATTTGAGTGAGAAGGAAGGCAGTTGAACGAGCTTGCACGAAGGGCGGTCTTATTTTTATTTTTATTATTATTTATAGTAATCGTCGGTGTCTATAAAAAAATGTGTAGTATTTATAATTAAAATACACATATTTTTAATGTGACATTTTGTCAACGATACTGAAAACTCCAAAAAATTTATCAACAGCTTTTAAACTTTCGTACATTTTTTAACTACTTATAGACCTGGACTCTATTTGTTTACGCTTTATTCGATAATTGTACATATCAATCAATATCTACTTTACAATCATTAATTACTCAATTCTCTCTTGCTTTTTGATACTAAAAAGTTCCAAAATTTTAATAACAGTAGCATTTAAAGAAGAAAATTCACTGTACCTCATCAAAGTAACACTTGAGAAAAAATTTTCCGCTCTGCAAATAGAGTCCAGAGCTTTTTATTGAATTTTTATCATTCTATTAACACCTAATTAACAATCTCCATATTTGTTCTTATGATAATTTCAATAACATCAAATAATTTATCTTTGTCTCTTATTCTCTCATTTACATCACTCTTTCGTAGCCTAATATTTGGTATTTTTTAAATATATATTGTCAATGTATACGTGTGTGTATGTATGTGTGCTGTCATGATAAAAATATTAAGAGAGTAATATTAAAGCAAACTATTCATTTATTAAATATATACTATACGCAAACTCTATGATTGAATTACGTAGGCATTTTTTCATTTTCAGATAATAATTTAATATGTTATATTCATTTATATATATTATTTATTTTTATTAATATTGTTATTTGTTTTCTTCTCTTATTTTTCTTAGGCATTATAAAAAGACACACACGTATACACAACATATTACGCCAGTCAACTATTTCATACTCTCTATACATATATATACAGTTTTAATTTTATTAGAGCTTGATTAAGATTTTGACAATAAAAATGATGCGTACATTTTTCACTAAGTGGCGTTAAAATTATATTTATCGTTTTTTCTTTTCGCAAGTACTTGTAATCCACGTCATTTAATATTAATAGACGTTCCAAATATTTTTTATAAAACAGCGCTCTAAGGTTGAGGAAACTTATGGTCTCTTTTAGTTCTTCGAATTCGTGGATCCTTCGGAACTCAAACGTCAGCTCTTAGGCATGGTGTGGTCTACATAATAAGAAGAAACCCCCAGTTATTGCCGACTCAAAGAAGGCTGGTATTTTTTTAATTCTTCCGAGTAGGATTTCCAGACACTGACTTCATATTTTTTATGTACAAATGTTATCTTCTTTTACTTAAAATTTATTATTTTAATAATTACATTATGCATATTATATACATCTAATATAAATATTGCTGTTTGGCGTCATTTATCCATCAATTCGCGTTGTTCAATTCTACTTACTTTCAAACATGTTACTTTATTAAAAAATACCATTATTTATAATAACAATATTGAAGAACAAAAAATATTAAAGAAATGATTTATTAATGGTTAAATAAACTTATGTTAAACTTAAATTGAACTGAAATTAAATAATATATATATATATTATTATTTTTTTCATTGTCTCTCGTAATCCAATTGACACTAATCATTGTCCTCTGTACAATTTAAGCAAGGTCAGATAAAAAAAATCGATCAATTGTAATTTTTTTTTAAACCTATTTTTAAAAGTATAAACTTTGAACTGAAAAAAAATATTTTTTTTCCATCACAACGGCTATCCCTCTGAACATCACAGTAAGAATCAAGTTCTCTTATCAATCTCGTGGAAATACTTTGATTTTAAAATCACTAAAATTAATCTTATATTCACGGATATTTTTTTATATTTATAATCATTCATAGTCAATTATCACCAATACTATCTATTGCGCTTGTATTTTTTTACTCTACTATACGTGTACAATTTATTGTTCAATTATTCCAGATCCATACTCATCTTAAGTTCCTAAAAACAATCTTACGAATAAATACGACCTATGAATATAATTAATTACTATCATTATATTTTTAAATAACGATAAATCTGAATAAATTTAATACGTGTAAATATCTTTTTACATTGTCGTTTTACTAAAAATATAATATCAGTAATTAGTAACTAAAAATTTATTAAATCTCCAATGAAAATCACTCGCAACTACGCTCGCAGCAAGCAGTTTCCAGCGAAGGCATTAGCAGACGCATTTAATAGGTAAATGTCGTTGCTATTTTATTAAATACTTTTCTATTTTTTTTAATTTAATTTAAAACAATATTAATAATAATAATAATAATAATAATAAATATTTATTTGTTCAGTAACAATCAGTCAAATCTCACGAATTTAAATCAATTCCGTACGACGTGAGCACCTTAAAAATAATAATAATAATAATAATAATAATACTAAAATAAATTAATAAAAACACCAAGGTATAAGTTTAACAATTTTTCACAAATATTCTCTAGGTCTTGGCGGTGGTCTTTTACGTTCACTTTTATCCGCACTTGCTGATTCGCGCTCGTCGGCATCAAGCATCTGCGTTGTTTCCGACACATCAGTCGGGCTAATTGGTTGCGTAGCAAGTGGCGCAAGAGGAGCGACACCTTTATTGCGGGATTTACTACGCCGTTTACGGAGAATTAGTGGTCCAAGAGCTGAAGAATCATCTCGTGACGTCGATGCCTGGGTGAGACGCTCCAATAATTCTTTGTTTACCTCTCTTGACGATAATTTGTAGTCAGCAGAACCCCCAGTCAGTCTTTCTGTGCACGATTCTTTGGATCTACTGTCGGATGATTGCTGCTGCTGCTGATGATGGTGGTGATGGTGATGGTGATGATGGGTGGGTAGTTCTTTGACTTGAAGTCTTTCACCAAATTCACGAATAGGGTCCAAAGGTGGCAATGATTTATCTGGTAAAATAGAGGGTGTTTGCGTACCCGCGTCATTTCCACCTTGGGAACTACCAGCAGCACTACTTTGAGAACTAGGAGGTGGGAGTCTACTCATTACAGTTTGTAACAAGTCTTCTAACTTGGCTAACCGTTGATTTACTCGCTGTACCTCAAGTTTAAGATCAACTTTAACTTCGAGTACCGCTGCCAGTATTTCTCGATCTTGCCCAGGTTGTGATGTTATAAGACCACCGTCGTAACTCTCAAGACGTCGAAGTGACAATTGCTTTGATTCTACCGTCAATGTCGTTGTTTGCGGAGGGTCTTTTGTTGTCTCTGCGTCAGCAACTTCCTCAATCGTACCACTCAATTTACCTAATTTTGGAAATACTTTATTTGTTCCAGCACTAGAGCTTGGTCTTGAATCACGAGCACTTAATGTTCTTTTGAATGTGTCGGTACCGGTACCACCTTCGCTTCCGGAATCCAAACTCGAACTTCCTGATAATAAATTTAATAATTCAATCATTAATTATCCTGAGCATTTTAAAATTAAAAGCTGAGTTTCAAATAATTAAATTTGATCTTAATTACGAAATATCATATTCTATTAGTAATTTTAACCATCAACTGAAACATAATTCAATAGTTCTGGAATTTTTTCTACACTTGGAAGGCCGAAAAAAAGGATTTTTCAATCATTTTTTTATAAAAACTTTTCAATTGATTTAAGGGGGCGTCCATAAATTACGTGAACCATTTTTGAGAATTTTTTGACCCTCTCTTCCCCCTTGATAAGATTTCGTAAGATTTTTCTCAACTACCTCCCCCCTCCCCTAATCTCACGCGAGATTCTTCAAAATTTATGTTTTGGCTGTAAACGTGTTGGATTATTGAAAAAAAAAAAAAGCGCCATTCGGCTACATCCCACATGGATAGGTAGATTTCTTATTTGAATATTGAAAAAAAACACGTTATTAAAAGGCCGTCATGTCCTAAAATTCATTTTTTATTTTATTTTTGCAAATAACGATATGAGATTGACTACAACAAATTGATATTCAAAGACATTTACCTAAAAAATAGGATTCTTTACAGATAAGTCATTTGATGATAAAAGCTAAATTTTAAATTATTCTTCATTTTTTTTTAATTTTCTCAACTACGAAATAAATTGAAAAAAATATTAAAAGTCGACGAACAATAGCTTAAATTGAAGATAATTAAACATATTATGACAAAATTTTATTAAAATTACGACATGAGACCGGCTACCACCGATAAATTTCTAAAGAAATCTACCTAAAAAATTAATGAATCCTATCGATCAATAATCAAATTAAACAATCGAGCGCTACTTTGCTGCTCTGCAGGGTTCAGACGAATACGACAAACACTATTGTGTAAAATTTGGCCATATTTTATTATAGAAATACTTTTTCATACAATTTTACACTGTTTTCTGCTAGAGAAAAAATTACGTGGTATTTGTTAAGATCCCCCCTCCCCCCTAAGTGAGATTTGGTAAGATTTAGCTTGATCCACTCCCTCCCTATAACACCTCACGTAATTAATGGACGCCCCCTTATATGAAAATTTTGTTAATATAAAATATTATCTACAGATTAATTGAAGGAATATTAAATATACTTATTTTCAACACAATGTCGGTTTATATATAAATTCTTCTCGTATAAATTTAAAATTTTAAAAATTAAATGAAGATAATATCTTAAAAGTTTAATTTACAACAAATAAACTGAAGTTATAAGTGGCTAAAACCGGTACTTCTACCCTATGGAAGTTCTATTTTCATTTTATCACCAGCGCACGTTGGAGATGTTTTGGTGATATTCTCCAGCGAGGGATAATTGTTGGTTTATTTTTTTCATATAAAATAAAAAAAAAAAAAACAGAAATAAAATTTGAAAATTATTCAATTTTTTTAGTTTTATGAAGTAAAGATTCAATAAATAATTAAAAATTATATTTCCGAAAAACAATCAAAAGACTAATTGAAACCTTTGTGTTACTATGTAAATAAATTTCAGATTGATATATGAAAATATTAAACATTGACAATTAAAAATTGATTTATTAGTTCCAATATTTTTAATTTAAAAATTTGCAACGTTGATTAAATATAAGAAGAAATATTACCGAGAAGACGACCCCATTTGCTCGCACGAAGACGCGGAGCTGAAGACTCTTCTCCGGAGGATGGTTTTTTGGTATGAGAACTCTCGGTGTCCTTGCTGTCCTTGCTGTCGCCCTTTTCGACATCCGCCGCGTGTCGCTCTCTTCGGAATCTGTGTCGAGAAAATAAAAATAAAATAAAATAAATAAAAGTTAAATTCACATGAACAATCGACTTAAATGAACGATATCGGGTTAGATATATAGTGGGGTATTAAAAAAAGGCCGGATACTATACGCGGATTAGTCCAAAATTATTTGTTACTGTTATTGTTGTTACTGTTTTTGAACTGGATACTACATTTTTCAGATTTATTTCTTCTTTAAAATGTAGACTCCTCAAATATTTATCCATCCGACAGTTAATATTTTCATCCATAAGTTTTTATGATATAGAAAAATATTGTTAGTACGGATAGCAAATAAACATTTTGTTTTAGTTAAAAATACTTTTCGGTGTTAATTAATTATACTTATTATTGCGTTCTTACATTAATTTATTACAAAATAGCTACAGAGGCTATAAAAGGGAACAGCTCCAGCGGTGTCACGAGCAACCTACTTTGGTGTGCCTACAGGAAAGTAAAAAGATATATTCGTGATAAAATGGCGATAAATGTCTAAAAAATTAATGATTAATGAACATTAATTATATTAAATAATTTATTTTTAACAACTCGGGTTATAGTGAAAAAATTCTTTTAAACAACAAATTTCTAATTGAGACAGTTGCTAGTCACGTAACACTAACTTTGTACTTTTTTGGACTGTTCTGAAAAGGTAAAAGTGCATTTGTAAATTTTTGGGAAAACTATAGGATTTTTTATTGATTTGAAAAATTAGAATGTGCAATAATAAAAAAAATTTATTTTTAACTTTTTTTTTTTTCAAGAAAAATTTTACAATATTTATGAATGAGTGGTTTCAATGTTGACCCAAAAAATAATTCATACGTATTTGGATTTCAAAATTAATTGTGGTTAATAAAAAAATGTCACTGTCCCAAAAATGTCCAAAATGTCAAAAATGTCAAAATATTTATGAATGTTTTTAATTCAATAAAAATCTCATATTTTTTTCCCAAAAATTCAAAGAAATAATCTTATCTCATCAAAACGTTTCAAAAAAGTAATAAATTGTCTCACATCTTGATATTTTTTTGTTGTAGACAAGTTCGGGACAAATTCATTTTATACATGAGAATAATAATAATAATAATAATAAATATGTATAAACAATGAAGTATATTAATAAAAGTATCAAATACTATAGTTCATTAAGCATTATTGAGTTGACGATATACAATTGTGAATAAATAAAAGCTATTCGAATAAAAATATCAAAGAAATAATTATTTTAAATTTATATTTTCAGTTTATACATATGTAAATATAAATAAATTTATTGTTATTCGAATAACTTAATAATATTATAATTTGTATATAAAAAATTAAAGTACAGGTGACAGAGATATAATTGAATCCTAGAGTGTGTTTAATATCGCATGCACTTGGCATAATAAATAATATAATTCAAGTATAAGTAATATGTAATTTATCATTATATATAATACTGAGCTTTAGCGCACAAGGTTTACAATAAATAAATTAAATATATAGGAAAGGATATGGAAGTTTTAAAAAGATAAAAGAGATTGAATAAAATAAATATAATAAAAAATAGTTACACTAAATTCTATTTTACTCTTTATTTTTTTATTTTTAAAAAGTTTTCTAAGAGCGTAGTTTTTTGAAATTAGTGAAAACATCGATCAATAAAAGAATAATTAAATGAATAGACGGAGATTAATTGAGCGAGAGAAAGTCAAAGAGAAAATGATTGACGGAAAATACAGAAAAGAGAACGATTGTGATAGAATAGAATATATATATTATAGGCGGAACAAGTTATAAGTTGTAAGTAAGAAGAGATACAGACTAGAAAGAGAGTGTGAATAGAATTCGCTCGTACAACATAACAATTCGGTACTGGCTTAATGTACTCGTTCAGACGTTTAACTATATGTCACGTAACAAGACTCGGCATCTATAAGCCTGCCGTACGTCAGTCGACTTTGCAAAAAGAAAAAAACAAAGAAAAGGTTTTTTTCGGGAATTATGAAGATTAAAATAGGGTACTTTTCAAGTTGTTTGATGTTAAGAGTGGTTAAAAGTGACATAAAAACGGAGGTATTAGTTACATACTTGCAGAGTTGGGCACAATAAAAATTTCCCTGTACTAAGAAATATTTTACTTTTATAGTAAATTCATTGGAGAAATTAATTAGATTAATAACTCTGATTTTCTATCAAAAAAATTTTTTTAAAATTTTTATTAAGTTCTACAAAGAATTCAAATAAATTAATTATGGATATCGGTTAATTTGAAATGAATGATTAATTAATTAAATAATTTATTTTAGTTTAATCAATTTTTTAAATTAATTTCTACAGAGAAAAAAAATTAATTTGATTCAAGACGAAAAATTCTTGAATCAAGTAAAATTTCCTTAAATCAAGAATTTTTCTACTCAAATCAAGAATATTAAGTTCTTCAAAATTATATACTTGATTCAAGAACATTTTTTTTTCTGTGTATCAATTACTAAAATACAGTAAAAAAACTTGTGTATAATCATTAATCATCAATTAAATAATTACATAAAATTTCATAATTTGAATCGTTTAATAAAAGCGATTCGTTTATTTAAATTGAAAAAAAATTAATTAACATCTATTAAACATCAATTGTTCAATCTATACTAATATTATAAAAAGGGAAGATTTGATTGTTTGTTTGTTTGTATTGAATAGGCTCCGAAACTACTGAATCGATTTGAAAAATTCATTTACTGTTGGGAAGCTACACTATCCCCGGGTGACATAGGCTATATTATATTATAATTAATTTTTAAATTTATACTAATAAACTGATTTGAAATTGATATATAAAAACTTGAATTTATTGACACTCAAAACGGAATATTTGCCATGCTAAAGCTTTATGCTGCTCCAAAAACTGTATAAAATTTTACATTGTAATACTTGACTGTAATATTTACAAGTAAAGATGAAATGGTTTTATTAATAGAGCAAAGAGTATTTAGCGTAGTGGAAGAAAATAAGTAAAAAGTAAAGTAAAGTCGACTGGCGTATTGTTACCGCGATAAAGCCTTTTGCGAATGATGCCGCGTCCGCTTGCGCCGTCATATCATCGCGCCTCTATAAAAGTATAGAAGAAATATTAGATAGATATATGTATTTAATAATAGTAATAGTAATAACAATAGTTAATAATTTGATATAAATATATAATATATAATAAAAAAAACATAAATGCGCATAACCCTCTAAAGGCGTATAATTTACAGCACTCTAGCATTCGTATAAATATTTATATTGCCCTCGGACGCTTAAAACATTTCGGAGTGTTTATTATTTAATTTACTGATTTATTTATTTAATTATGTGAATTTATTAATTAATCAATGAATGAATAGTTGCTTGATTAAATTTAGCCAGTCCGAAATGTCTTGAAGGATGTAATTTAAATAAAAAGCGTCGCAGATATTGTAGATTTTTTTAGTAGTTTTTTAAATATACAAAAAAATTATGATAATAATAATAATAATAATAATAAATTACAATGAAAATGAGTACCAAAAGTTTGAAAGAAAAATCTAGTGACAATGATAATAATTTATCGTCGTATGTATCAAAAGTTTCTCTCGCCCGTATACATGAATAATTACGCAGTTTTACTAATATATGATGATAATAATAATAATAATAATAATAATAATAATAGTAATAATATTTTTAATAGAGATTTGGGCTAAATAGGTGAATAATAGTTATAATAATAATAATAATAATTATAATTTTCGTAATGAAAGATAATATATAACAATGAATATTATAAATAGAACAGAATTAATAAAAGTAAAAAATGATGTTACTAATAACAATAAGAGTTGAATTTTTATAATAATAATAATAATAATAATAATAAAAATAATACTAATAATTAAAATAATAATAATTCAATAATAATAGTTAGTAAAAATAAAACAAATATAAACAATAAAAAAATAATAGATATAGTCGACACAATAAAAGATACGTTAAGCGATTAAAATAGAAAGAAAGATAATTTAATGTATTTAATTGGTACCCAAATACGAAACTCGAGTTATTATTTTTATTATCAAATATGCATGACACACATTCACTGTTCTAATATTATTTCTTACGAAAATATATTTTTTTTTTGTCAACAAATCTTTATTCAGAAAGTTTTTTTTTTTATAATTTAATTAATTAACAGGTAAAACTATTGTTGTGATATTTGCTCGAGGAATATAAACATAAAATAAAATAATTTTGTAACTATTTCATACAAGTTACAATTTAAAATTGTTTATTTGAATGGAAATATTGTACTGAGTTTTTTGAAAATAAAAAGTATGTAATAAATTAAGATAATAATTGCTGCATAATTGAATTAAATGATAAATTTTATCTAAAAATATCTTTTCTATCATTTAAGAGTCTTGCAAGTTTAGCTTCTTATCATAACTCAAATTATTGAAATTACAAATAAATTTTTCGAGCTTACATATTAGAGTACTAATTTTTTATGGTAATAATAATAATAATAATAATAATAATAATTATAATGATGACAGTTAATATAGGAATAAATAATTTATACTCCAATATAATAATAATAATGATAATAATAATAATAATAATAATAATAATAATAATAATAATAATAATAATAATAATAATAAATACATAGCAAGAAAAAATGGCATAAAGAAAATGTAAATATTAAATAAATACGTAATAAATGAAATTGCCTAAAACTGGGCCACGGTGGCAGGACGTTGACTGTCAGCTCCTCGTCGGAGTCCTGAGGCTTACGAGCTGGTGTAGTTCTCGGTGTACCATGATGAGATACTTCATCGGGCTTGAACCTTTTTGGGCACAGTATTCAGCCACGAGATCAACACTTCGTGTTATCACCATTACATATTATTGTTATCCTCGTATATTATTATTTTATATAATTTAATAATATTTGCGCTATTATTTAGTCTTAATTAACATAGTTTGTCCGTACGAGTACTTATATTAATATTAATTTTAATTAATAATTAAGGTACACTACGGATTAGCGAACGCTGTATTAATAAATAATTTCAATCACTTTCAAGTATTTCAACGACTGCATGTTTCATTTTTATATGTAAGTAACTTGCTTTTAAAATCAATAAATAAATAAATCAAATGAATTAAAAATTAAATATACATTACCGCAGCTGAATTTCGATATCAACATCATGCGTCGCAAATCCGTTTACTCGCGCGTGTTCTTATTTTTTATTCATTTTTGTACTTTATTTTATATAATATAATACTATGTATATTATGAGTACTGAAAATTTTTTTAATTTTATTTTAGCTTCCTTTAAACATGAAAATAAATGCATCATAGTTTCATTAAATCGAGTAATTTATCAGATAAAATATTAAACATAAAATATTTGTAATACCGTACTTAAGATTTTCTTATTATTTATATTTTTATTATAATGAGTGGTATTGCCTGAAAAGTAATAATTGATGCTTACCTCGAGAATATTTTTCGCACGAGGTGATCCTGTGTCTGATCCAATTGAGGCTCATTTTTCCTCCTCTCTGCAAGCTCTTTTTCACGACGTACATCCGCGACTTTTCGAAATATGAGCTGAAAACCAATTTGTTTGTTAAAATTACTAATTTGACAGTTAATTAACGGTTATTCAATATTTTTCTATAAAGTATTTAATTTTAGTTGATAATTAATCAACTACTCAGTACTCTGCACTCTGATTTTAAACATCCGCTAAAATAACTTAAAATATTTATTTTTTATTAACTCTTACAAAAAGTTATTTATGCAAATTTCAAATTTATAACTTCAATTAGTATTTACATTTATTACAAAGTAAACTTTTAATTGCATTTAGAATTCATAACAAATTCAAATTTCCTTCTTATAAATTTTTAATCATGATTTGGAAGTGTTTTTAATTATTGATTAGAGAGCGAAAGTAATATTCTAACTTTCGAAAATTGTTTTAATTTACCAAAAATGTTTAAAAATTTGAATTCCAATAAAATTAATATTACGTAGAGTATAATCAATAAACGTTATTGACTCGTCGAATTATCTACTGTAGAATCATTTATTTATAGTAAAAACAGACACTGACTATAAAAATAATTATACATTTTTATTTGTATCAATATTTGAATAAATTAAATTTTGTTAAGAAAAAAATTATTTTTTGACTTATTAATCAATTTTTTATAAAAACATTTTTTACAGAGTGAAATAAACTTTTCATTTCAAAGAAATCCTAGAAGAAAAAGAAATTAATTTCATTGAAGAAGATTACAATTAATTCTCTAGACAAAACGTGAAGTTAAAAATTAAAAAGATAAAATAAAGTTAGAAATCTAGTGCGCGCTCAATAAAGTATTGAAATAAAAAATCAGAATATTTATTTTATTATAAAATTTAAAATTAATAATAATAATTTACTTCCAACTGAGTTCTGCGTATAAATTTTTAACAGTTTTTATTTAATCTGTAATATTTTTCCCTTCCAACAAGTTTGTTATTTCCAAGAAATTTCATAATAATAAAAAAAAACGTTTTATGAAACAATTACATTTCATTTCTTATTTTAATAACATTATGCTTTATAATTTTTTAATGATTATAAAAAAATCTAATTAGATAAAAGAAGGAGACTGCAGTCGTATTAAAAAAAGCAAGAAAAAGAAAAACAAGTTAGTTGAGATAATGGTGATAATATATATTGCAAGATCAGCTCAATTTTTTTTTCTTTCTTTTAATACTCTGATACTGAAAATGAAAAAAAAAAGTTGCGCTTGCGCAAGTTTTATACGAGTCGATAATAGCAACTTTGTAGTTGCTCGTCGTAAGCACAGAGTGGAGCTACTGCTTGGTTAGTCAAGTTATTTAACCTCAAAATATATGTATATATATATATATACATATATATTTTATTGTTATTAATCATAATTATTTATTTATTGTTGATTATTTGTTCAATTGATAGGTATTCCAATGTGATTTTAAAACGGAATCAATTAAAAGTCCATCAAAAATGAATGACACGTGAAGAAGAAAATACGTCATTAAAGACATGACATATCAAGTTGTTTGGGGGTTCTCTTGATGGAGATAATAAATTTTGATGTATGTATATTGTACATTGTACGTTGCGAGCAGGTTGGATGACGTATTGACTTCCACTACAAAAGGTATTTATTTATAAACTTAATATAATCTTAATAATCTCGTATGATTTCCGATACAGTGATTACAAAAAATAATAATTTATAAATTTATATTATTTTTATTGCAATTTATTGTTTAAACATTATAACAATAATAATTTCACTGATAAGAGTTTTATTTGAGAGTAAGTGTTAAATTAATTTAATACACTCAGATAGTATAAAGAATTTAGATAAAATACACAAAAATATTCTTCAGTCGCAGTATGAATAAAATATTAAGTTTCGAATCAATATGTTACCGATATCGTTTTTTTAATTAAAGTTAGTTCCAAAGTTGTTGATACACTCGAGTTTAAACAAACTTAAAAAAAAAAAAAAAAAAAAAAATAATTTCAATAAAAAAAGTTTCAAATTATTCGTATTTAAATTTAGTTGAGAAATATTTCTTGAGGCTGTTGTTTAAAAATATTTTTTTTTTTTTTTTAACCCAGTTAAATATCGATCTAAAAGTATATTATTATCTGAATCAACATATTTATTTGATTGTGTATTTTTTAGATGGGTCATGGATCAAGTCGTTCAGCATCCTCGGCAAATTTATTGTCGTCCGAGGAGTTGACTCTAGTGGAAAATCTTTTCAAGTCCATGTCTCGGAGTTCAGGTTCAATAAAACGAGAGGATATTTTTAAACACTGGTCTGTCCACCTGGATGATATTCTACTACAGTTTGTCGTGCGTTTTCTATGCCATGATCCCGGTAAAAAAGTGTCTGCAATAAACGGCGAAAACTTTGGTCGTCTGTACGTGTTTGCGATACGTGGGAGTCCGGAGGAACGTACCAAATTACTATTCGAGGGGTTTATAGAGGATGAACAGAAATACGAAATACCAACAGCAACATTTCTCCAGTACGTGCAAGCAACTATCAATTCGTACCTGAGACTACAAAAAAACTGTGGTAATAATCATTATTTAAGTTGGAGTAGTATTGGATGTACTGTTAACACACGAAGGATCGCTGTACGCTCAAAGAGCCTTTGCGAGGATTTAATTAAACATGGTGATAATCTAACAGCAGATACTATTGAATCGTGGTTTAGTGTATGTGGAACCTTCAAAGAGATCCAGTCCCACGTATTTCAGTGTCTTTTTTTGGTATCACAAAAAAAGGGCGATAAAAATACAAGTGGACGTATTAACGACCTAAATCTTTTGCCAATTTGTAAGGGGTTAGAAAATATACCGCATTTTCCAAGTATCCTCGGCCTGGGTGATGTATTATTTTTGAATGTCAGTCTGCCTCATGAACTCCGGAAAGAATGGCGATTTTTGTTTTCTAGTCAGGTACACGGCGAATCCTTTTCAACGATGCTAGGACGGATATCAATGCAAGGTGCAACGATAATTATTATACAAGACACTGACGATCATGTGTTTGGAGCGTTTTCACCAGATAACTGGTCGCTCAGTCCGAATTTTGTCGGGAACTCGTCCTGCTTTTTATTCAAACTTGAACCAGATATACTAACGTTCCCGGCAACCGGTTACAACAATCATTATCAGTATTTAAATCTTCACCAACAGACAATGCCAAATGGTTTGTTGATTGGTGGTCAGCTCAATTATCCTGGCCTCTGGCTCGAATGTGATTACGGAACAGGGAAATCAAGTATATCATGCACGACATTTCAGAATTATATACAACTCAGTGGTAAAGAAAACTTTACAATAAAACATTTAGAGGTCTGGGGTGTTGGAGCTGTGCCAGAAGCTGAGGTAGCAACTCGGGACACTAGATCCGTCTTGGATCAGGATCCAGCCTCACAAGTTATGCTCGAGTTAGCTGGTCGTAAAATGCACAGCGAGGGTTTGAGGAATAAAAAAGAGTGAACCATTTTTTCATCGTCGGTGTCATTTAATAAACTTTTTTTACGTGGCTCAATGTCTGGATTAACACATCGAACATACTGCTTCGCTTTACTTTCGGATATTATGAGATGTTATTAAATTTTATTTCAGTTTAAACTATACACGTTTAAGTATAAATTACACATTATATAAGATATGAAAAATGAAAATAACGAATTCATTGTTTTTCATTACGACTCTTACGAGCACTTGAGAGACCAGGATGGAGTACTATACCAGAAATTTAATAAACCTGGGATAATTTTTTTATCTCATTAAAAAAAAAAAAAACAAACTTGGAGAGATTGTAAAGACTCAAGGGAATACATTATCGAGAGATTAACAAAAAAAAAAACTTATAATAATGAAAAATCAAGAAAGAAAAAGAGAATTTTATAACCTGGATAAGTAAAACCATAAATTATTCTCTCAGATAGTATTTCATTTATTTACTTCCACTGAATTTGAAGGGTTGAAAGAGCTCGGTCATCTTGAGGGGAAAACTACTCTTGCTATTTTCGTTATCTGTTTACCTCCTTTTTATCTTTGACTATCGATAAATCGTACAAAAAAAATATAATTATAATAAATCTAAATATATATAAAAAAAAAAAGCTAAAACGAAAGACAGAAATATTAACCTACCGATTCTATACGTCCTCGAAAATATAATATATGAATTGTTGTGTCTGTGTAAATTAAAAAAAAAAAATAAACTTCTGTGCTATGATAGATGTATAAATATTAAACTAAATTAAATAAAGAAACTATCTCTGATGTTAATTATAAAATTTGTTATTTTATTTTATTAACTAGGAAATAGATAACTTACCCGATGACGTAGGTTGTAAGTCAGTACGAGATTTCTAGCAAACGAGTTGGCGAACGCTTGGTAAAAATCGAGAACCTCGAGCAATCTGTCACGCTTTATGGTATGGAAATGACCTGTGATACAACTTGTAATAATCATTAGCTTATTTAAAAATTGTCACGCAATTATTATTTTTTCTCTACAACTAAACTTTATTGTAATTGAACTGGTTATATCATTAAATTAATTGAAAAATAAAATTAATTACAGGGATCGATTTCAAGATAAAAACTGTCGAACTGAGAGGCAAAAAAATAAAATTACAGATATGGTAAGAAAAATATTATTTATACAAATAAGTAACTTGTGATAAAAAAAAAAAAAAAAATTATAATCATCATAAGTTGTGGTGACTTGTAGAGTTTATCACAAGATATTTATGTGATTACAGGGACACTGCTGGTCAAGAGCGTTTCCACACTATCACAACTTCTTACTACCGAGGAGCTATGGGTATAATGCTCGTTTATGACATAACTAATGAAAAAACATTTGAGAATATTGTCAAGTGGCTCAGAAATATTGATGAAGTAAGCTCACAAAAAATTTTAATATTAATAAAAAATAATATGAAGATAACTTTTTTTTTCCGGTTGATTAATGATAAAATGGCGTTTTATTTATAGCATGCTAATGAGGATGTAGAAAAAATGATATTGGGCAATAAAAGTGATGTGGAAGACCGGCGTGTTGTCAGCACAGAAAAAGGAGAAGCAGTTAGTATTTAAATATGATTAGTCAACTTTTGGTGATATTTGTGTTTAAAGATTTTTATACTATATTATTTTTTAATAATAGATTGCCAGAGAGCATGGAATCAGATTTATGGAAACCTCAGCAAAGGCAAACATAAATATTGACCGTGCGTTCAGTGAATTGGCAGAAGCTATCTTGGACAAAACACACGGGAAAGAACCTCAAGATGCTCCTGATCGCGTGACAGTCGATCGCAGGGTAGAAAGAAGTTCGAATCGGTGCTGCTAATTACAATTTTTTACTATTTATTATTTATTATAAACAGCGTATAATATTTATAATAATAAACTCATATATAAACTCGTGCCAGTTTAGATTTGTGATTATAGGCTTAATGCATATCGTGTCATTTTGAGTTGCATCACGTTTTTTTTTTTGCATCAATGTTAGTAATATTAAAATTTTTTGTTTTTTATTATCACTGCCCAAGTTAGTTACAAAAAATTTTTTTTTACAATTCATAATACCAAGGCTCATTACTTCATCAATATTATACAATTGGCAATAAATTTGATGGGATTTTTTTTTTTTACAATAAATTACTTAATTATATTAAGTGAAAAAAAAAAAGTTAAAATCAAAGTATGCAAAAAATGTAATCCCACAATTGAGATATAACTAAGTGTAATTGAAGAAATGTATCATCTAGTCTCATCCTTTTTACTTACGCAAAATAAAGGCAATAATAAAAAAAATTAATAAATAAAATAAAATAAAAAAACGACAGCATCTGAGGTGCCTATTATTATCTTGTATACGTGTCTCTATTGTACGTGCACAAACATTTAAGTCTGGAAGTATGTTTTTTTCCCCATATACTCACGATAAAAAACAATCAAATACTCTAAAATAAAAATACAAAAGTTCACGTGTAGATTTAATTTTTTTTAAAAATACTATAAGTATTAATAAAGTCGCACGCGAACCAATATACAAAAAGACTTTGAGGCTTTTTTATAATAAAAAATTTCTTGAATAATTTAAATGGCCGGATGCAATGTTGGACCGATTGTGTATGTTAAACTATTTATATATATATATATTATAATAATAAATAAAGAAAAGAAATTTGATCCCATCAACTGTAAAACTAATTAACTATTACAAATATAATCATACACAATTTTGTCAAATAGATAATATTTTTGGACATATATTTATTTTGTTCTCCTTAATCCTCTTTATTAAATAAAGTCATTAATAATTGCGCGTTAAATCACATTACATCTATTTTAATATGTTTAATTTATTCTAAATTAACAAAAAAAAAATATTAAACGTATGTACTTAAACGTCAATATTGTAAATACAATTTAATTATTATTTATTTATACATGTAGAAATAGCTTTTACAGTAAAAGTATCTGTTACTATTTTAATTTTGTTTTTAACTCGAGATAAAACGACACAATCATGTGCTTAATACGCTGAAAACTTTTGCCTTATTTGTTTCAGTGATAATTTAATAACAATTAATTATTACATATATTCCGTATGAAGGTTAAAAAGATATTTAATAAGTAGTAAATCAGGAACCGTGATATTCTAAGGGGAAGGTCGAACGAGGATAATATATGAAACACTTTATATTAACATTTATGAAAAAATAATTAACTGCGACGTCAAACAATTAATAGTAACAAAAGTTTATGAAATAAATAATAATAATTATCATTAACAAGCATAAAAACAGAAGTATGATGATATTAATTTAATATTTGAATTGACTTCTCGACTAGATAAAGCTTTTAAGCCTGTTCATTTTCCAAAAGCCTGTATCGAAAAATACTTTGTGGTTATTAACAAAGTAAAATCTTTTGGAGGCTTGCAAACTTTACTCATTTTTCGAAATATCATCATTAATTGTTGATTATTGAAACATTTATGAATTTATTCAATGTAATTGTTTTAGAAAAAAAAAAAAGATAAACAAATAGAAAAATATGATCATGTTGGATAATGAATTTGAAAAAAATTAAAATTGGTGTAGAATGAAAATCATATTTATGACGATGAAAATGATGATAATAATTTACATTTATAATAAAGTAATTAATCGCGAGAAGCTCCAATTATCGACAAAATATAGATAAAGATGTTAACAACATCAAGGTAAAGATTTAATGCAGCAAATATGTACTCTTCGGGTGAAATGGAATACTTGTGTTTACCACCCAGCATCAATTGAGTGTCGTAGATTAAATACAATGAGAATATTAATGCACCGACAGCGCCGTAAACGATTGTTATTGTTTTGCCGTGCCAGAACATGGCAATTATTCCGAACAACATAAGACACATTACAGCAACAAAGAGCGCAGCTCCCATGCCAGTGAAGTCCCATTTAGTTTGGAATGCAAAAATTGTTAATGAAAAACATATTGCTGCTGTTATTCCTACTGCCAGTATTACCTAAACAATTGAATAGAAAGTTAATTAAAAATTTCTCATTTATTTGAATTTAAAATAATAAGCGTTAAATAAAAATTAAAATACCTCTTGACTTTCATATCGAGATGACAGCGTACCGAGCAGGAAACTTTCAGCACTGGTAAATATAAAAAGAAATATGAAGTTCATCGGAGCTTTACGTCTTACATTTGTACAGCAAGCCATACAAATTAACGAGACTAGCATAAGAACAAGAGCGGCCCAAAATATTCCTTGGTGTTCTTGTACATAGCGCTTAGTTGGAATGTGGTACAAGAAAAGTGCAATAACACCCAATGTCAACAGCAGCTGGCACATCAAAATAGCATAGACTTTTCTGATGAAACCCTGTCTAATTGTTTTGTCACTGAAATCAAAGCCTTTTGGCTCATCGTGAAGGGCCTCGTCACCATAGTTTGCCCCGTACATTCCTGGAGCTTGACCAAAAGCTGCAGTAGGTGGAATTGGTGGTGGTCCTTGTCCGTAGTTTCCGCCCGTTGGAATAAATCCAGCTGTGTATATTGATTTACTTTATTTAGTAATTATCAAAAATGCAATTATGCAATTATTAATGAAACTATTGAAAAATAAATAATTACATACCTGGTGGTGCTTGGTTCCAGTCGCCTTGAGGAGGTGGATAACCTGGATTAGGTGGATATCCCGGGTTTGGTGGATAACCAGGGTTCTGTGGTGGATACGGGTACCCTACGCAAGCAAATAAAATGATCTGTTAAGCAACTGAGATTATGACTTACGACGACTGTATCACGTGATTTATATGAAAGTAAAATAATAAGTTATAATATTATGAAGTTTTAGTCGATGGATTATTGCATTGAGGTTCCATTGCCGTTGATGGGTTAGGTTATTCTCGTATGCTTATTCTGCTTCCAATGTAATATGAAGCTTGAAATAATATGTTTAAATGATCAAGCTGTAATAAAATTAATTGATATATTTATCTAATATAACGTAATGAAGTCAGCAGCTATTCCGGTAATTTAAATGACATTTTTATTACTACTCGACTAATTTATTTGAGTTGCCGGAAAATTTTTAGCAGTGGACGTGAATTGTGTCATGTCTTGTAGCAAAAGAAAAATAAAACAATATCGTGAAAAAAACCAAGTGAATTAACAAAATAATTTACGATTAGGTAAGACACAAAAAACCATGAACACGGTAATTAATATTTATAATGAAAGTTTTTTTAAACTAAATTAAAAATTAGAACCTTGTTGTCCTGGATAGAATCCTGCACCTGGTGGTGGGCTCTGCCAATTGGACATCTTATTGGTTTAGCTGATTAAACAACCTAAAATTACCAACAATAATCAAAACTTAATCAATAAATTGTTTAAAAGTGATTAAATTGATAATGAATCACTGTTTTTAAGAAAAATAATTGTAAAATAACAGTAAAAAACGCAATTTAAATATGAGTGTATGCAGAAACCTGTCACGCGCTATGTAATACTAACTGTCTACTTGTATAAATGACAAATATGTATACAAACGTTTGAGATACGTCACTTGTTATCTATAATATTTTTTCCCAGTAATCAGTTACTAATTATCTCTACTATCATATTAAGCTACCGTATTTCATAAATAAATACATTCAATTGTTTTATTTTCGATTTATTTATTAACTGAATAGATTTTTCGCGCAAATTTTTTTTATCAATTTCAAAAAAAAATCGAGATGTTTTTTTATTTTTTACAAAGATAAAATAATATCCTTAAAATATTGATTCACTGTATCGCGATGAATCATCTTCAAAAATAAAAAAATTGTAGTTAATATAATTTTTAATAATAATAATAATAATAATAATAATAATAATCAAATCAAATATCATTGAACGGTTGCATAATAATGTGAAAGATAAATTAACACCTGATATTTAATGATTAGATTTTCAATGAGATTGTCATCTATTTAACTTTATATTGTAGAAATTAGTAAAAATAATTATTATGTAAATTGAATGACTAATCAAGTTAATGAACTCGATATATGTTATAAATAATTGAAATAAAAAAAACTCAATAAAGATTATTCCATTTAAATTGTTTTCTTCATTTAAAATGACTAATGGTAAACGTAAATATTGAAAGTATACAAATATGACCTACATCACGTTAAAAATCATTAATACTAGTAGTAAAAAATGATCGCTAACGTTCATTAAATTAACTGATATAATGGAATGTATTCAGTGTGTCTCTTATAAATACATGAACGACTGAGAAAAACAAACCACTTTCAGTGTTTTTAATGCAGATACGCTATTTATGGCTAAATATCAATTATTATTGCGTCACTCGAACGTCATTAGCAATAGTTTTAGAGAATAATTATATTAATATTGACAACAACGTATTAATTTCGTTAATAAGCATACGGCAAGCTGATGCGTCACTCGTACATTCTGGAAATAATAATAATCGATAAGAAAAATTGTGTTAAAAACACAGACTATACTTATGTCGCTGATGTAAATATAATAATATCTTGGATTAATTGTTTATCTTATTAGTAATACATTACCTATTGGTAATTAATCACTCACGTTGAATCCGTAGAATAGTTTGGAGTAAAGCAATTATAACAACGAGTTTCTTGTAAAAGAATCTTATTCACTAATATATATGACTCGTGACTGTATAAATGTGTATGTGAAATAGTAGGATTTATATAGGCTCTGGGTGGTTTCCCATTCGGTCGTTGTACCACGTTGTACAGACTGGTGGAGCCGTAGAAAATTTAATGTAATTTTCCAAACTGTTCATAGACGTCGCATTGTGCCTGGTTTAAATGTTTAAATATCAAAGTAGTGATGGAAACATAAGCTGAAGAATCGATTCTCGATTCCGATTCTTTTTTCAGAAATTTCGATTCTCAGAATCGATTAATCAATTTCAAGAATCGATTCTGAGTAAATGTTTTTTTTTTTTAATTAAAATTTTATAAATTTTTTTAATTTTAAGAATAAAACTAGTAAAACAAGGTAAAAAGTACAATAAAATGCTAAATTATAAAATATTATGTTTTATTAAAAAAGTACCCGTGTAAAAAATATTGTCTTTAAAGTGTTTTAAAATTGCCGTTTGTTCAAGATCTTAAACCTGACATAGACCAAGACTGTTTTAAGACTCTTTTAAGATGCAAAAAAAAATTCCAAGAGCCGATTTTTGAAATTTGGTTCTTGAATTCATTATGAAAATTAATTAATTTTTAGACAATTTTGCGAGTTTTTAACCGCAACATTTTTGAGTACGCTCTTTTCAAATTGAATTTGAAATTGTTGAAAACTCCATTTTAATGTTCCGGGGCTCTGTTGCTGTGAGCTTATCTGAAAATAGTCTCTAAATTTTTTTTAAGATTTTTTTAATCTCTCAAAGAGATAGCTGTTCTAATATAGCTCTTCAAGCTCAAAAGTCTGATGGAAGTTTCATGGAACACAATTTTTTGAATTTCTAAACCGCAATCACCTTTGAATAAATCAAACCAAATTTTTTCACGCCTTACGGCAATTAACGCAGTTTTTTGAGCTCTTTTAAGAAGCTTAGAGCGCGAACTTGTCAGACTAAAAATTTCATAAAAATTCTGAAGAAAACTTTTTTTTTCAATTTGTTTCGACAACGATATCTCACGAACGAATCAATCGACTTTGACTGGGCTTGTGACAATCAACGTGGTTTTTCAAGGTTAAGAGCTGAGTAGTTTTTGGAATCGATCAGTCGAGCCGTTTAGAAGTTATTCCAAAAAAACATTTTTTTAAAATTCTATTTTTGAGATTTCTCAAAATCTAGTAAACTGAATCGATTCAAATTTTCACAAAATTTAATGGCAATGATGCTCTTTGGATCGCCACCTATCTCGATCCAATCGGCCGAGCCGTTCAAAAGTTATATAATAAGAGGTTTACAGGTTTACATACAAACACACATACACACGCACACTCACACACATACACATACAGACAGACACCATTGCGGGAATAGTCGGGGAAGCTTCTTAGGACCTTAAAACGTCGAGATTTGATGAAAACTCAATTTTTGAAAACCGGGGTAAAAACAATAACTTCCCGATTTTCGAAAATTTTTAATTTTCCTAGCTGGAAGTTAAAAAAAAAACAAAAAAAAAGGAGGGTAAGAAAACGATGCGAGCGCAAAGAGAGCGCTAAATTTAAAATATTTTCACAATTAAATATACTACTTTGGACTATTTTTTCACGAAGGCTATCTAGCCTTCGTGACTCACTCACTAAGAATCGATTCTAGATCGATTCTGATAGCTGGGAATCGAGTCTAAATAATCGAGTTTTTTGACCACAGAATCGATTCTCGGATAGAATCGGAATCGATTTTACCATCCCTATATCAAAGCCGAAGCTACAGTCGTGGAGACAGAAATGCCGGGGTTTTTTTGAAAACGAGTTATTCAAGTTACTCGTATTCACTCTAAAAATATCGAGTCTAGTGCAAAATATTACATTGACAAAACTGATATCGGAGTAAATGGTGAACTTGTCATGATCAAGAAAAATATATTTATGATGGTTAGTGGCGTAATAATATGACAGCTTGTAAATACTACCAAGTTATAAGTTGAATAAACATAAATTAAAAAAAAAAAACAAATAGTTAAAAATATCCCAAGTGTTACAAAAAAAATGTTGACTTTCTGGTAGATTTTACTCAAAAAAAATTAAAAAATTAATAAGCATAAACTTAAATTCAACAAAATATTAACAAAAAAAATTTGTGCCGCTTGGGATTGAATAGTTAAAAAAAATATTATAAGTTGCTTATAGGAATATAAATTATTTAAAATATAATTTATAATAATCATAATTAAAAAAAAAAAAGTAAGTAATATTCAAATTAATATCAATGGATAATATTAAGTAATATAGTTTCAGAGTTATTGAATAAATAATCAAAGTTACAAAATACCTTACTAACTGCATTGAACTATCCGGTATATTAGAACAAATAATTAAGATAAAAATTGTTTATAGGTTATTCGAAGAGTTTGAGCTGTCAGGGTAACGTCTTAAATGTTATGGTTTGCTAAAATTAAACATCAACGACCCGTGGCGTGGATACCTTCCGATTCTCTGACCTCCAGAATATGACAAGAATCCTCACCAAAATCGAACAATGTGGCGGATGAATTCGAATATAAATCATTCACCAGTGAGCGATGCACGAGATTTCCAGAAGACTAGTTCAAGTTGATCAATTTGTATAATCTAATACTTTATTTTTTCCATTAAAAAGCATGGAAAATTGATCAAATTAAAACAGAAATTTCACATTATAATGATTTGAAATACAGTGCGCGTCATTGATTCGTATCGGTTGAAAAATTTTAAGGTAAAATAGAAAAATCAAAATTTCGACATCTGTAAATAAAGAAATCAATAAAAGGAAAATCTTTATATATAGCGTGCTAAATGCCAAAAGGGCGTATCACAGCAGTTAGATAGAATTTTTATCCGCCCTTTTGGCATTTAGCACGCGATATATAAGGATCAATTTGAACAAAATTGAAAAAATAATTTACTAAAAATGAATAACTCAAAATATCGAAATTATTTGTTCTAATACCGGATAAGTTCAATGCAGTTAGTAAGATATTTTGTAACTTTGATTATTTATTCAATAACTCTGAAACTATATTACTTAATATTATCCATTGATATTAATTTGAATATTACTTACTTTTTTTTTTTTAATTATGATTATTATAAATTATATTTTAAATAATTTATATTCCTATAAGCAACTTATAATATTTTTTTTAACTATTCAATCCCAAGCGGCACAAATTTTTTTTGTTAATATTTTGTTGAATTTAAGTATATGCTTATTAATTTTTTAATTTTTTTTGAGTAAAATCTACCAGAAAGTCAACATTTTTTTTTGTAACACTTGGGATATTTTTAACTATTTGTTTTTTTTTTTTTAATTTATGTTTATTCAATTTATAACTTGGTAGTATTTACAAGCTGTCATATTATTACGCCACTAACCATCATAAATATATTTTTCTTGATCATGACAAGTTCACCATTTACTTCGGTATCAGCTTTGTCAATGTAATATTTTGCACTAGACTCGATATTTTTAGAGTGAATACGAACAACACAGTTTCAACATCCAGTCATTACTGTTCACTTTTACATTCAATAATCTCTGATAAATCATCTCAATTTATTTTTAATTAAAAGTTTGAGTTTTTGACAAATGTAGAGTTCAAATTTAAATCACTCTAAGTCAGCCATTTTTCATCTTAATCGGTGAATCAGCGAAACCTGGCGACAGAATAAGGTACAAGTCGTCTATGTTAAGGGATAAATAATAAATTATTGAATTAATTTAATAATGTATACAAAAAAAACTCAAATCTATTGAATTATTTTATTGGCGAATTAATCAATAGCATTATTACTAATGATAAAGTGCTCAAAACTGATCAATATTCGACCGTGTTGAAACATATATACTGTCACTGTGTTATTTATTTTATGGCATAACAATCTTATACGTTTCTTTGCCACTCCTTGGTTTAATTTGTGACTAGTGTTAATTCATGATACATAAAAAATAATGTCTCTGAAAATATTATCCAAAGGATATTTAATAATTTTTTGATTGCTTTGTTTTTTATTGGAAAATGGATTACACCTACGTGTCCGTGTGAGTGAGTTTTTTAAGTTTTATTATTGATACAATGTGGTTTCCAGTATTATAAGTGATATAACAATTCAAATTAAATATATATTAAATTTTTTTTACTTCCAGTGACATTATTATTCTTTTATAGGTCAAAAAACAATTTTATTTTTTAAGCTTAGTAAAGTTAGTGATAATGTCAGAAAAATCACGTAAAATAGTTACGCGATTTCATCCAAGTCATGGAGAAAATATAATACTTTGTGATGATAATACAGTAGCATATAGAAAACAAAGTTTCGCTAATGCATTGACATTTAGTGAAAAACCTCTACAACCTGGTGAAATTTTCCTTTTGGAAATAGAAAAATACGAACGAGGATGGAGCGGTCATATGCGGTTAGGATTAACACAAATTGATCCTGTAACAGCTGACAAGAAAGGTTTACCTCAATATGCATTACCGAATTTAGTGAATATGGGATCTAGTTGGGTGTTTGCAATAACTCAGAGTCATAATATTTACTTCAGTGTCAGCGAAGGTAAAGAATAGTAGATACAATTATTTGAAAAATATTTTTTTAATAGCAAGTAAACTGAGTATAGAAGAAAAAATTGAAATTTGTTTCTGCTTTTTTCTCCTAAAGGTGAATCAAATCCTCATCACGAGAAGAAATTAATAACCGATGGTATTACTGTACAGACATCTCGAGGAATTATCCCTTACACAGCATTAAAACCTAATACAGTTGGCTCGAGCCAAAATATTTTACCTACTGAAACTGGTAGTCGTATAGGTGTAATGTATGTACCACAGCGAGGTACCGATTTAGCGGAAATGCATTTTATTATTAATGGTGTGGATCAAGGTATATGTGGAAAGGATATTCCTTATAAAGAAAAACCAATTCACGCGGTTGTTGATGTTTATGGTACAACAAAGCAAGTTCGAATAGTTCAACTCTATGCAGGTATAATGAAAATCTTAATTTTTAATTACTTTCATTCTAATTATTTCTTATGTATTAATTTGTTATATTTTTATTTTAGTTTCTACGTTACAAAGTGCTTGTCGTGATGCTATTCTACAATATACGAAAGAAAATGCTGTTGATTTATTACCATTACCACAAATGTTAAAAGACTTTTTACTTTATCAATAATGTAGAACTATATACTAAGCTAGAATTTTTTTTTTTTTTTTAAGATTAAGTATAAGGGAATCGATTGTGTTGAAGGCAGGTCCTTTCATCATAAATCTTTTTCTGATTCGTTTATTGTAAATTATTAAATTATACTTATGAAATTTTACAGGAAAAAAACTTATATACTGTCAGAACAAATATAACAATAATAGTTACTATTATGGTTATAACTATGTGTATATGGTTACGTGCGTTAATATCCCCGGACAAAATATCCCCGCGACAAAATTCTTAAAAATTCGTAAAAATATAAAAATTCATCAATAATAATTTGAAATTTAATCTCAACATTATTTTTTTAGTGTGTTTGTGTGTTTATTCAAAATTAAACCAACAAAAACGCGGGGATATTTTGTCCGGGGATATTAACGCGTGTCACCAACTAATAAATGATTATAAATTGACAATATTGCTTGTTATGTTATTTTACATTAGAGAAGTTAATAATTGAATAGCTATGGAGTATGAATAAATACTACACACATAATAATATAAATAAAGATAAAACAGATTAATATAATCCAATTCAAAAGAACAATGACATCATTCCAGGTGGTTGTTTTTGAAAACTCGGAATTAATAAGATCACTACTATCATCACCGTCTTCTAAAATTTTAGTTGATGCTTTCAAATCGAATATAAGTGATAGTAATACCTGACCATATTTATTTACTAAAACTTTCGAAATTGTAGAAGAAACCCACGTTGGTGGTGACGTTTTTAAAATGACAAATTTCCTAAATATACACGTCAAAATTAGGGCACTCGTCGCCAATATCATTGAACTGTGATAAAAAATTACTGAAAAGAGTAAATATATGTATTTTTAAATCCAGTTAACTTTGAAATAAATTAATTCATTAAAAATAAAATTACGGATATTAGGGACGACTGCAGCGGACAATCTCCAATGAAGATGTGACAGACATAAAAAATGTATTATAAAATTAATACACGCAATTATGAGTCGTTCTTTTGATGCTGAGTCGAACCACATAGTTGCTAATGTCATCATCATAACCACTAGAAGTAAAAAAAAAATTTCCAGAATTTTTTTTTGCTCTCAATATTTTCTTAACTCAAGCTTACCTATTATTGGTGTAACAAACATTCGTCTTAACATGCTATTTACACGTTCTACATTAAAATATATAGAAACAGCGGCCAAATATAATTGCGACGTGTATTTAGATTTTTTTTGTACTGGTTCAATTTTGAAATTGTTGATTTTCCATTCTGCATTAGGTACAAAATGAATCATTTGCAGTCGAAAACTATCTTCACTTAAATATATTTCTTCAGTATTGTGAGACCATGAAGCATACTCAAAACTACAATGTTGTTGATCAAACGGCCAATATGTATGATCTCTATGACACCTCGTTGAATAGCAAACTATTGGAACACAAGCCACTCTTCCATCTTTTGAAAGAATGCAACTTGTAAGGGGAATACCAATTTCTTGCTCACCAAAACCTCTAGTTTAATGATAATTCAGGAATATTAGTAACTGCTGAATTAAAATAATTTTTTTGTTTTAATTTAAAAAAAATAATTAACTCACGCATTGACAATAGTAATGTCAGGTGTCCAAATTTCATGACTCATAACATAGAGAGAATCAACTCCGTCAAATTCCTCAGGATTCCACTGCAAATGAGGATCTTTCCATGCCTGTTATGAATAAATTGAATTGATTATTAATCATAGAATAAATGTTTTATCGGTTTCAGTATGACACTAATTGTACTCTATAAAGCCCTTACAATGTACATCCAAGTATGTAGCTTCATAACATTTGTAAATTCATTCTAAAATCATAATATATCAGTTAAATCAAGAAGGACATCATTGAAAATCAATAAGGATTTAAAGTGAAGAAAAATAGTACTCACAAATTCCATAAGTTTTGGAACAACTACTATTGATAGATCTGTTCTATTGCGGGAATTAGTGGTTGGACGAACACTTGGATCGTAATCACATAAAAGATGTCTTTTGAGACGTAAATATGGTGACTTTTCTTCAACTAAATTGCATGATTGACCATCAATTACATGCATCAAAAAATGATTAAAAAATGTCAAAATGAAAATATACTGAACTAATGACATGATGATGTACACTGAATAACGAAGAACTAAAATAAAAAAAAGTGTTTCTGTAAAATTAGTAATATTTTATCAAACGCCCCATGAAATTTGAAACTGTAGATATATGCTTTGTGTGTATTTGTGACGCCTACTATTGATACATAGCTCACACAATAAATTTTCTCATAATTAAATAATTCATTTGTTATATTTATTATTTGTGATTATTTAAATAATATTAAATAATAAAATTTGTATTGTTATAAATTAATTTTATTTATCAATCATTCTAGAACATCAGTTATTACAGATAAAATGATTGAAGTACATTCATATGAAATTAAATTATAATATAAATACTCAAAAATAAATTTACAAAAAGGATACATTTAATTACAAAAATATTTTTAAAATATATAATGTTCAATTTGATTGCGTGGCGAAGCAGGAGTGAGAATGATGAATAAAATACCATACGTTATAATTACAGAAACCAATGCCAGCCATTCTATTAAATTTACGCATTCCATCCACAAAGTATTTTTATTTTTTATTTGCTCATTCTGATTATCAGTGTCATTTAAGTTATTTTCTTCTGATTTGTCTGGAGTTTTAGCTTTCAAATATTTAACTATTGGACAATTATAAATGAATTCAACGGTAGAAAAAATTAATTGGGGCGCCGGAATTGTGACTGTATAAATTTTACGCAGTAAAATAGTTAGAATGAATGTGAATGCAGTGATTATCAAGGACGCTTCATAAAAAATAACTGCATAAATAAAAATAAATATGAAATAATATTAAAAATATATTATTAAATTAAACAATATCAAAACGCTAATTTTAAATTTAATCTCACCTATTTTTGGTGATCCAATAGCGTTATTTGTTGGTATGTACCAATATAAGTCAAAAATACAAAGTAGATGACTGATAAAATTGGTACTCATCAAAATAGTTCGTTCTATCGAACAAACATCAAGATACAAAGCTGTCAAAGTTAAAATTGTTAATATAATCGCTGGTGTTATATAAATTAAAATTCCTCTGGATGAATTCCTCTGAATTTCAATATTTAAAAATATCATTGAATCAACATTGGTCCCATATAATTCCAATGATTTAGATATGTTACCTAATTTTACTTCCCACTCATTATTCCGCACAAATTCATCCATTACAATCTAATAAATACAAGTAAAATTATTGTATTGAATAAATTTATAATTTATTGATTAATAGTTATTGTTATTACCGAATCTTTAGTGAAGTAATAATTAAGTTCATCGGCAAAGTATAACCAAGATCCAAAGTGTAAAGTACAATTATGATTATCATAAGGCCAATCAGAAAAATCAGCAGGGCAATGAGATGTGAAGACTCTTGAAACTACACATTGAATTGTACCGTTTTGAGACAAAATGCAGTCAGTCAACGGCATACTACTTTGATCTAGACCCAAATCTCCTCTATAAATAGAAAAATCATTAATAAAAATAATTTTTATAATGTATATACTGAATTTAATTAAAACCAACGAATTGAAAACGGTGAAATCAGGAACCCAAATATCGGTACTTTTTACATGGTGAAGAGTAATACCATCAAACTCGTCTGGATTCCAATTCAAGTGAACGTCATCCCAAGTCTAAAAAAAATTTCATCATAATGACATATTTATTACTTCTCATTTAATTGACTAAAATCATTGAAATCCCTTACTAGTATTAGCCATGAATGAAAATTAATACTACTTGTGAAATCATCCTGTAATTTGTACAAGAGTTAAAACATATGTAGGTACTTCAAAAGAGTATTTTTATTACAGTTAAGTATAAACAATACTTACAAATTCAACAAATTTTGGAATAAGATGGACATCGATATTCAAAACGCTGTGTGCATTGATTTGAGGCCGTAGAGTTGGATCATAATCGCAAAACAAATGTCTTCTTAATCTTAAGTCCACTGACTTACTTTCAATATCTTTACACGTAGATTCGAAACATTTTGAATTTCCGATAACTACTGATAGTATTAGAATAAGTATTTTATACATGATTTAAAAAATATGTACTGCCGACTGACTTGCTGGTCAAATTATTAATACACTACTCTACTTTTGAAAGCTAATATAAACGCCCCGTGAAATTTAATACATTACACATCTAAATAAAAATTTTACTATAATGATATCATAGTTTACTATCATTCTTGTACTCGTAACTAACAAATTGAGTGAATTTGAAGTTTTTTTTTTTGTAAATTTTAATGCTGTAGTGATAAAAAATATATATACCATTTCCTAAAAATAATTTCATAGTGGATTGAAATTCCTTATAAATTGTATTAATAGATTATATAGATACATAATTACATAGTTAGAATTTAAATTGGAAATTTCCAATGAATAATAAATACATAATTAATTCTCATTGAAATTTCTTGAAGCTAATTGACAATAAATTTATACAAACGTTAGTAAAAAGAGTAGCCAATTTAGAATCATCTATTATATTTATAAATAAATGAAGAAATATCAATAAAAAAAAATGTTTAAATCGCTTATGAAGAAATTTTCAAAATTTTCAAGTACACATATACGATTTAAGGCATTATCTTTAGTGATGTATAATATACTTAAAAAATTACTGGTATTTGACATTTGCTGTGTGAAGAATTCTCTGATACCATATCAATCATAACAAAAATAGCAAGTTTTTAGCCATATTGTTAATGCCCATGGCTAAAAACCATTATGGGTTTACTGTTTTCATTGTTATAAGAAACTAAAATCTAAATATTTTTTTCCGTATATAAATATAGAAATAAAAAATATGTGGATAAAAATGGGTAAAGAACTTTCAGCAAAGTCGAAAGGAGTCGGGGTCAAAGTGGTTGATTTGGCGTGGACTCCCCCAATATAAAAATTTTAAAAGTAAATGGATGATTCTCTGTAAGGATTTTTTTATTAGAAAAATTGTTATTTTGTTACTAAAAAAAATTTATTACGAAAGTAAAAAAACATTTCTATTTGGAGCATTGAAAACTAAAATGGAATAAATTTTGGTTTTTTTGCTATAAATTCGTAAACCACCAAAATCTCAGTCCCCTGGGCTGTCCCAGTCCCAAAATTAAAACTTTAAGATTAAATTTTAAGTTATTCGTCAATAATATATAATTTGGTCCATAATGTTTATAAACTTAATTAGTTAACTAACAATCTTCTTCAATAAAAAGTACCGAAAGTTAATTTATTTCATTAAATTCATTAAACCAAAGTATGTCCCAGGCATTTGAGATCAGTCCCCTGCCAGAAGTTCAAAGCCAAAAAAAAAAAAGTCTAGCGTGTTATTTTACCTTTTGTAATTTGGCATTTTATTTAGTGTTAAAGCACCGTTTGTGCTGGAAATATGTGTCTGGGCCACTGCTTCAAAACTCAGTCCCCTGGCAGCTATTTTTGTTTATAATTTATTTATACAATTGGATCCATAAGTCTTAATATTATTCTAATTAATGTAAACATTCATTGAGAACTTAGAAAGTTGAATGCATTAATTGAAATAGTTTGCTTCATTTTTCTCAATTTGATAAAAAAAATCAGTCCCCTACTGTCATGTTACGCATGCAAAAGATACACAAATATCGAAAAAGGAAAAATTAATTCGGCTGTTTATTTATTACGATTAAGCTGATAGTTTTGTAGTCCTTGTTAATTTTTTTTCTAATAAAATTAAAAAAAATTTGGTCGGACAGTTTTGTACAGATTTAAGACGTCCTTACAGAGAATCACCCAAATAACAAAATAAAATAAAAAACTTTCATGATTTTACCTATTCATAATGAAAGATTTACTCATAAGCAAGCATGATAGAAATTTAATTTTTATCAAGAATACGGAATTATTTCGAATGTTACGAAATAAAATTACGAACAAAAAATTTATAAAGTCAATAAATATATAACAAAGTAATACTTAATTAATTCAATTTACCAAAAATACTCAAAATAGCCGATATTTTGGTACTCTTTACTAGAATTTTCAGAATTTTTCTCCTGGCAGTGATTTAATTTACTTAATTACAATTAAAATAAAGTGTCGGATGTCTTATTCTACTTATTTCAATGTCATGCGAATTCCGACAATAGAATTTTGCGGCATTACAGCATTTTAGAACATTGTTTGATGGTGCCATCTGGTGAAATAGAATGTCGACCGAGAAAACTCTGACGTTCAAAATAATACTGAACGATGGAACAGTAATCGTTTTCTCAATGACGAATTTAATATATGTAGAAATGTTTACAGTGTTGACTTGACGCACCCGTTTGCGAATGATCTGTCACCAATACAACCTCTTTCGACCCTCCGAAAAATTATACAATACGATCAGCATAAATTCATACACCTTATTTTTGTCGCGCGTGGGTGAATGAGGTTTTGCGAGTAATACGTCACTCGTACTAAGTATTTTCGAACGTCTGTTTTGTTTCGCCGCTTATCGTCCTCGTGGATTCTGGAGCAAACCAAGTGGAGGTTAGTCTGGTGCTTTTTTACATCATTTCAAATATTTACACCAATAAATAATAATTAACTTGACATGTCAAGTTTTTCAAATACCTATTACATAAAAAAAAAAAATTTAATATGAATTATTTTAAAATTCAGAACAGAATGAATTTAAAAAATAAAAATAAAAATAAAAAATAGTAAGTAATACATAAAAGAAAAGAGAAGGGGATTGAGCGATAGTGGCTCAACAGAGTGGGGATTTGTACGTCGACGATCAAACCGTCTAAAAGGTCTTGTAACAGAGGGGTTAGTGCGAGAGAAAGAACGACACGAACTGTAACCGTTTTTCTAGAGTTAGCGGGTACGTCTAACATAAAGTTTTTGATATCATAAATTTTTACTCTTTACTCGTCACTTTTTCTCTTTTTCCTTCTCTCTCTCTCTCGTTTATCATAAATATTTTATTTATATACATGCATATGTATATAAATACTACTACCTTTAATAACGCCCCTTACGTCAAACTTCTTTCTTTTTCTCCCCCTCTACACCAATCAGTCACCCTCACGCTCGATCATACCATTGTCTAATTTGTAAGTGCAATATCAGAAGCCGACAATATTTAGAGTTTGCATCCGAAGGTGTCAACAAAAAATTTGCGTGCTATTTTAATTTTAATATTTCATATTATAACTTAGAAAATAGACAGACCTACACCTTTTTTTTTTTTTAAGTTTTTAATGAAACTTAGTTTTATTAATACACAAATAAATAAAAATATTAAGTGTCATAAAGTTTTGGTTTTGTCAAAGGAAGAAGACTGAAGTACACGCGGAAAAATGAACGATATGGAAGCGTATGGTGATGGATACATGGAGCCCGAGGAAGAGTGGGAACGAGAAGGATTACTTGATCCTGCTTGGGAAAAACAACAGAAAAAAGTGAGTGAAAGTTTTGCGAATATTAATTAAGTTAGATAATAATAGCTTTATTTACTTTATTGTTTAAAACTATGTTATACATTATATTATTTAATTGTTAAAGTATTTGTTTTTAAAATATAAATATTTGTGTACTTTTAGTGACCGTGAATTTGGGTGTATTTATGGTTTCACTAAATTTTACAGGTACAAGAAACAAGGTGTAATTTTCTGTACTTAGATTACAATTTATAGGTAAAATTATTTGGTAATTAAAGATAAGATAGTGACTTTGGCACAGCGATAATAGCCACGTAGTCATTTCGCAGTCTCAAATATTATTTTCAAGCATATGTAAAATTGTTGAGTCTGCATTCCAGGTCAAGAACAACCGACTAGACGAAAATTAAATCAGGGAATCTTACATACAAGGGAGTATTTAAATTTGAAAGTCCAATTGGAATACAGTTATAAAGAAGTTAGATTATATTTCACAGTTAAAATAAAACAGAGTTATTTAAATATTTAATAATAATGATAAAACGGATTTAGCCCTTCGTAAAACGTATTTTTGGACTTTACGACAAAAATAATTGTACGCTGAGTCGGAATTGTCGAGGTTGCGGACTTTAACATTGAGATTTTATTTCTAAATTTACTCTAGTCTTCTTACAATTCTAAAATAAATTATAAAAATATAATTGATTTATTTAATTAATGTTTTAAAAATTAATCTCAGTATTGAAAATAAATATCATGCTTTTATTCAGAAATTGAAACTATTAAATAAACGAATCCGTAAAAATTTTTTTTCGAGATTTTCTAAAATTTATGATGATATTTTCTTTAGACACGAGTAATAAAGATGAAGAAAAATAGTTATAAATAAATTCAGTATACGAGACGAACGTATCGGCCTATAAATACTTGCGAGGTCGAGGACCCATTAGCTGTTTACTGAGAATTAGCTGCTTAAATTATAAGATTCTTACATATTATAAAATTAAAAATTTAATAAACTATTTCAAGGTCAAGTAAAACAATTGAACAATCTTAAATATTTTTAATTTCACGAATAACTTTAAATTATACGAACAAATTTATCCAGTGAATTACAATATCATGAGATGAGGATCGTTAACCTTTGGTGGGAGCGTGTTTAGGCCACGCGCCAACTTGGATTGGAATCGGGTGACCCACTCTCTAGTGTTCTACAATGATGCAGTGACGATTGAATTGAGATAAAGATGACGAAGAAGAATGTTTATCTCTTATAAATACCATTCTAATTAATCAGTTAATTGTTATTTGAATTGACTCATAGGATCAGTTACTATTAAAACTTATCAAATCATATTTTATTTCTAAAGGTATAATACAGATAATAATTTGAAACTTTCAACTGTAAATAATTTTTATAACATAAAACTTAAAATTTATTAGATACCTCTACTAAGCAGTCATTGCGGTAGTTGTAAAGTAGCAATTGCGTCACCAACGGCTCGTCTAAAAGTAATGCCTGATGTCTTACAAAAATATATCCCCAGATCTCTCTCACTTACTCACTCAATCTGGGGATCAAGACTTGCGTAAATAAATGCATGAAACGTCCCAGAATTATATGATTTGTATATTGAACATTCTGATGCATAATAGTTATATCATTAGCCATTTGGCATTCAAAATGAATTATTTTAGTAAAATATTACTATAAATAAAAAGGAAAAAAATAGTTGGAAAATGACTAATAGATTAAATTTATAATACGAGTGTTATTCACATCCGTTGTCTTTATTGTTTATTGACTCAAACTTTTACATTCTAGTACTCGTCATCGAGTTCTGGAAGTTATTGCGATAAAAAAGAAGGACGTTGAAAAAGCAGGATATGATATAAAGGATTGAAACATTATTAAAAAAAAAAAATTATTGAGAAAGTTGAAATATAACTAAAGCTAACTTATGATAAAGCTTGGTTGTATTAATTGAATAAGTTAAAACACAATTTTTTTTTGTTATCAAAATAATAAACAATATATATATGAATTAATATCTTGAATTAATTAAATTAGAAAATATTTTTTTTATTAATTCTTTTCGATAGAATTTATAACGAATATAAAAAATAAATTATAAAAATATTCAACTTTGTAAAATAAGAAAAATACTAATAAGATTAAAACTTTGCAACAAAAAGTAATATCGACGGTATAAGCTCATTAAGTCTTAAACTATAATTTAATAAATTAATGAGTTAAAAGTAGATTGAATCCATTTAAAAAGTAACTTTATATCGAATAAAAATGGAATTATAATTATAGAATACAAAGAAAACAAATCGAAATGAAATATTAAAACAGAAAGCTACAAAATAAAGCATAAAATACAGCGAGTAGAGCGACGCGCGCGGGAGGATGAGACTTAGATTCTGATGTTTTACAAATAGAACTTAAAGTCCGCGGGCTGAGGTAAGGGTGGGCTCATGTCCAAATTAGGTTCGCGCGGGGCAAGTTAAAACTACTGAGTATTAAATTTCAAGCAATATTCACTTGTCGCATTAATTATAACCGTAATTTTTTTAAGTTTTTGAATAATATTAGAAAAAACTTTATTTTTATTTTTTTAACATATTTTTCTGCTCTATTATTTGACTTTAATAATTTTTAATTAATATAAATACATGATTATTATTTTTTTTTATCATTGATAAATCTAATAGTAAAGGGAATTTTTATATTATTGAAATGAAAATAATTAAAAAATGTCAAATAATAAATAATTTTCTTATAACATTGAATAAAAAGAATTTTGATGTGTATTATAATTTAGAATTTAGTAAAATCATTGAATTTCAAGTGTTCCACTATTTTTTTTTTTTAAATTAGGGCATTATATATAAATATATAAATGTATATGTATGCTTATAAAATAAGAGATTTATCGGGGTCGTTACTTAAATATACATTCAAGAGTGACATTTAGAGTTTAAAGATTTTAATTATCATTCTTATCTTAAATATTTTGTAACTTAAGATAATAGCTTTTATTGTAATACTTCTTTTATAGATAATTTGAATTGTATAGATGTAAATAATGTTTACTAGAATGTTTTACTAGATTCTTAAACTTTATGACATTTTTCTGATTATTAAAGGTACAGAAAATTACATTATTTGTCAACTAATCCAAAATTTCAAAAAGTTGATGATTATTTCTTGAAAAAATACAAATCAAATGCTTTAACTTATTTAACAATTCCGATAATTACGGAATAAAATTAGCTTATAAACATAACAATTGTGATCATAAAATTAAAAAACAAAATTTGTTTTATTTTAAAATTATTTTATACTTACTTTGAATTATAAAGTAATATTTATTAATTGTTTCTCATTTTTTTTTATTGGCAGACATTCACAGCATGGTGCAATTCGCATCTTCGAAAAGCTGGTACTTCGATAGATTCAATCGAAGACGATTTCAGGAATGGATTAAAACTTATGTTGTTATTAGAAGTAATTTCGGGTGAGACATTACCGAGACCTGATCGTGGAAAAATGCGCTTCCATAAAATAGCCAACGTAAATAAAGCCTTAGACTATATTGCTAGTAAGGGCGTTAAGTTAGTTTCCATTGGAGCAGAAGGTAAATTTTGTGAATTAAAATTAATTATATTTTTATTAATGATACTTCTATTACAAATTACAATATATTACAGAAATCGTCGATGGAAATTTAAAGATGACTTTGGGTATGATTTGGACAATAATTCTTCGCTTTGCTATTCAGGATATTTCTGTAGAAGAAATGACCGCAAAGGAAGGTCTTCTATTATGGTGTCAGCGAAAAACAGCGCCTTACAAAAACGTTAATGTTCAAAACTTCCATTTATCCTTCAAAGATGGTCTCGCTTTTTGCGCTCTTATTCATCGTCATCGTCCAGATCTTATTGATTATAATCGTTTGAGTAAAGATAATCCATTAGAGAATCTCAATACAGCGTTCGATGTTGCTGAGAAGTATCTTGATATTCCACGCATGTTGGATCCAGATGGTAAGATATGAATTTATTTTTGTTATTTTATTTTTAAAAATCCATTTATCCTATTTATCCATTTGTTATCATATATATATATATATATATATATATTATATATATATATATTCGAGGATCAATTTTAATTTATTACGGTCGATAGATTTAATCAACACTCCTAAACCGGACGAAAGAGCCATCATGACCTACGTGTCTTGTTACTACCACGCTTTTCAAGGTGCTCAGCAGGTCAGCGAAAAGTCGTGTGCCAAGCTCATTTACCCCATGATTTATTTCCCTACTAATTTTATTAAACGACTATTTAACAATTAAGATAAAAGTTTTATTTTTCATTAACATCGTTTATTGACTCTTTTTATTAACATTGTTTCAATAATCAATTAAATTTTAACAAAGCATGACGTTTAGTATTTTTTTCGATTGTGATTTTTTTTAGACATGCGAACTACGGCAATGCCTGATGAGAGAGCTGTGATGACCTATGTTTCCTCATACTACCATTGTTTCAGTGGAGCACAAAAGGTGTGTGTTGTGTGAGTGATATTTACATAACTTCAAAAGCCTATCAAATCATTTAATTAATTAATTAATTAATTAATAACTAGCTTAGCTGCACGAAGCACGGAGAATTGATTAATCATTACAGTAACAAATTAGATTGTTATAAATTAAATAATGAAATAATTTTTAGGCGGAGACTGCAGCAAACAGGATTTGCAAAGTTTTGAAAGTAAATCAAGAAAATGAACGTTTAATGGAAGAGTACGAACGATTGGCTTCCGATCTTTTAGAATGGATCCGACGAACTATGCCTTGGTTAGCTAGTCGACAAACTGATAATTCTCTCGCTGGTTGTCAAAAAAAACTCGAAGAGTACAGAACTTATCGTCGTAAACACAAGCCCCCTCGTGTTGAACAAAAAGCTAAACTTGAAACGAACTTCAACACACTTCAGACTAAGCTTCGGCTTAGCAATCGACCAGCATACATGCCTACTGAAGGCAAAATGGTTTCTGACATTAATAAATCCTGGAAAGGTCTTGAGTTAGCTGAAAAAGCTTTTGAAGAATGGCTTCTATCTGAAATGATGCGTCTTGAACGTTTAGAGCATTTAGCACAGAAGTTTAAGCATAAAGCTGATGCACATGAAGAATGGACTACAGGTAAAGAGGAGATGTTAACGTCTCAGCATTTCCGTCAATGTAAGCTCAATGAACTCAAGGCTTTGAAGAAAAAACATGAGGCTTTTGAATCTGATCTGGCTGCACATCAAGATCGTGTAGAACAAATTGCAGCAATTGCTCAAGAGCTCAAGTAAATATTAATTTATTTTTTAACTCATAAATCAATCATGGAATTTTTTTTGTTATAAATTGTTTTTTTTTTTTATTATAGCACATTAGAGTACCATGACAGCGCTTCCGTAAATAGTAGGTGCCAACGTATCTGTGATCAATGGGATCGTTTAGGAACTCTAACGCAGCGTAGACGTCAAGCCCTTGACGAAGCTGAACGTATTCTTGAAAAAATTGACGTACTTCATTTAGAATTCGCCAAACGTGCCGCTGTATGTTGAGTATTTACTCTTACATTCTTTATAAATTATGAACTTGTTTTATTAATAATTACTTTATTTTTTAGCCATTCAATAATTGGCTAGATGGAACGAGGGAAGATTTAGTTGACATGTTTATCGTTCATACAATGGAAGAAATTCAAGGTCTAATGGATGCCCATGCGGCATTCAAAGCTACTCTTGGTGAAGCCGATAAAGAATACAACTCGATTGTAGGCCTAGTTCGTGAAGTTGAATCTATTGTCAAACAATTCCAGATTCCTGGTGGACTTGAGAATCCATACACTACTCTTACAGCTTTGGATCTTACGAAAAAATGGAGTGACGTAAGGCAATTGGTACCACAACGTGATGGTACACTTCAAGCAGAATTGCGTAAACAACAAAACAACGAACTCCTCCGCAGGCAATTTGCTGAAAAAGCCAATGCTGTTGGACCATGGATCGAACGACAACTTGATGCAGTTACTGCTATTGGTCTTGGACTTCAAGGTACACTTGAAGATCAATTGCATCGTCTTAAAGAATATGAACAAGCAGTTTATCAATACAAAGCACATCTTGAAGAACTTGAAAAAATTCATCAAGCTGTTCAGGAAGGTATGATCTTCGAAAATCGCTACACTCAATATACCATGGAAACATTACGTGTTGGATGGGAACAGCTTTTGACCTCTATTAATCGTAATATCAATGAAGTTGAAAACCAAATTCTAACTCGTGACTCCAAAGGTATTACACAAGAACAATTGAATGAATTCCGCAGTAGTTTCAATCATTTCGATAAGAATCGAACCGGTCGATTGGCTCCTGAAGAATTTAAATCGTGCCTTGTATCACTTGGCTATTCAATTGGTAAAGATCGTCAAGGTGACATTGACTTCCAACGTATTCTTGCAATTGTTGACCCTAATAGTTCAGGATACGTACAATTTGATGCCTTCCTCGATTTTATGACACGCGAATCTACAGATACTGATACTGCTGAACAGGTTATTGACAGCTTCCGTATACTTGCTGGTGACAAGGTAAATATAGATACACGAAATCATATTATTATTATTATTATTATTATTATTATTAATTTTGATTTTAATTTTATTTTAAATTAAATCCTCTTAGCCATACATCTTAGCTGATGAATTAAGGAGAGAACTACCACCTGATCAAGCAGAATACTGTATTCAGCGAATGCCACCTTACAAAGGACCTAATGCTCAGCCTGGTGCCCTTGATTATCGCTCGTTCTCAACGGCTCTCTATGGCGAATCAGATCTTTAAAGCTGTTATAATTTTCACAATAATATAATCGTAAGATCGTTTTATGATCTTTGTCAGAAATACTGTGAAGCGCTTACGATTAATACTTATTCACTACTTACATAAAAAGAAATTTATACGAGATGTAAAATCATTGCAGTTTTTATCGTTTACATGTACATTCAATGAATATAAAGCTTCCAACGTTCGCCCTAAAATAACGGCGTGATGAAAAAAAACTATATTTCATAAACGTTTTTAGTCGATAAAAAACGAGCGCTATTTTTTAAAGCAAAATATATATTTGCCATATCTTTTCTAGCCAACTAGTAATCAACTGGCTTTAAAAACTTTACTTTTATGAATTTTTTCATAAAAAAAAATTTATTTATTTTAATTTTTTGAATAATTTATATTGAAAAATTTTTGATTTCTTTTTTTGTCGCAAAAAAAAGTCTATGAAGACTATAAAATAATTGATCATTAACTTATTAAAATAATTATGTGAAAAAAAATCAATTTATATTTAATGACTAATATCAAAAAATTCGAGTAATAACATCAGTTTCACATATCGATAATCGAAAATGAAATAATTTTACTCGATATGATAGTTGTTTTACAAATGATTGAGCAACCCAACGAAGTGAACGATTGAATTAAATTCAAAGATAAAAGTAATAACTAGCTACTAATGAAATGTATTTTATTAATCTTATATAGTAAGGTAAATATAATTAGACGCACTTGATGCGGATAAAAAGAAAAAAAAACTAAAAAAAAAAAAGAGACAGAGAGAAACAAATTTATTTATTTATTTATTTGTCGTATCACTATAATGATAACGAAGCGTAATGAAGAAAATAATGTTTTTTTCAGACTATTTATTTTTATAAATATCTTAGATGCGACGTATCAACGTATATATCAATATCAAAATCAAGTTTTGAAAAATTCTTATCTTTATACAATGAATGATTTTTTATCATTTTACTATCTATGAACAAAATCATAAGAAAAAAATGAACTCGATTGTCATGGTATCATCTATTATGTGTATCATATACTAAAATCAACGCATATTAAAGTAATAAATTGTTTATATTTATACTCGGTTACTTGCTTAGGTTGCTCGAAACGGGGACTATTATTGTATCTTGCATCTTTATTTTTCTCTGAAATCTATACACATAAAGATAGAAACTTGAGTAAGTAGCCGAATTATATTAACGCTTCCTTCTTATTTTCAAAATCATTATCTATATATATATACATATATAATGTATATATATACACATATATGTGTATATTATATATATATATACATATATAATATACATATATATTTATATATTATTTTTAATCTTATTACGTACTATATCTTGTTCGCTTTTATTTAATTTATAGCAAAGTAGAGCAACACTCGATTATTCAAAAAGATTATACTTACAACAAGAAATTTTTTTAATATATATAAAAAAAAATCACCCATTTTATGTATACACACGCACAACCGCATTATTGACATTCATTTTAAGTGTACAATAACATTGTAATTACATTTAACTCAAACACAAATAATTATTTTTCGTTAAGCTCATCTATGAATTGTATCACCAAAATAATGCAATATAAATCAATGTCACTGTATTTTGAGCGAAAAAGACTTTGAGAAATAAACAAATAAAAAAAAAAAACTGTTTCTTATTTATATGATCCTATCAGATATTTTCAAATTGATGGATTAAATGACAATTTCAGGTGAGAATACATCATATACTCATGGGACTTTTAATAAAACTTCAAATTTAAAGTCACTTGATATGAGATAAATTAAAAAAACTAATCGCTGGTTGGTTATTTTAACGGTCACAACTAAAAAAATTGACCCTTTTTAATTAATTATTTTTTTAATAATGATATCGACTGGTTGCAGCCAAAAATATTTGATTTGTTTACTATATTTCGAATTTAAAAAGTATCATATTTCTATTAATATTTTAAAGATTATATTTTTAAAGTTCAAAAATTTAAATTGATTTTCTGAAGCGCCATCTGATTTATCATTGTCGATAGTTTCGAGAGTGAGTTAAAGTTTTGCGCAGCAATATAAGTGTGTTATGTGCATTATTGAAATTATCTTATGTTTTGTTATTAGATCGAATAGAGTGTCATTGAGTGTCATCATACTAGGTAATAATATCATAGATACGACAAAAACTATCTGTCACATAGTTTAAATTCTGATGAAATATCTATATTTACAAATAATTGTTTTATGTATACTATATATGTATACACCTGATGAATATACCATTTCAGGATAAACGTCACACTGTAAACATAATAAAATAATGTGAATAATGTACCGTGTATATTCGTAAAAAATTGTTGATACATTTAATAATTTATTTTTGCCTTGAAATTAATTATTTTCCTAATACTTTATTAATTTATATCTCTATATATATATGTGTGTAATTTTTTTTTATTTTAGAAAAAAAAAAAAACATTTTGACTGAACAATGAGCGCTTTGGAACATTACAATCTCCATGGAGAATACAAAACAGACTCCAATAGCCCTGCTATTATGCAGAGTATGGATAATTTATCTACCTGCAATAAAGATATGTATAACCCTACATATAGCTCTCCTTATGATTCTTCATCAAATTATGGAGACCTAACGATTAATGGAATGTCTACTTTGAATGAGCCTGTTGATAAAAATTTTTCAAATTTTTCCGAAATTTCAAACAGTTTTTTGTTAATTGACGGCAAAGAATATCTTAAGGTTACTAACGCCGAAGAATTCATTAATAAACTTGGTTTTACTGAAAAAAATTCAAAGATTAAAGTTGTATCTATTTTTGGAAACACTGGAGACGGCAAATCACATACATTGAACCAAACTTTTTTTAATGGTAAAGAAGTATTTAAAACTTCAAATGAACAAAACTCCTGTACTTTAGGAGTTTGGGCAGCATTTGATCCACGACTTGGAGTAATTTGTTTAGATACAGAAGGACTTTTAGGTATAACCGTTCATGAAAATGAACGAACACGATTATTACTTAAAGTACTTGCTGTTTCCGACATTGTCATTTATCGCACGAGATCTGAAAGATTACACATGGATTTATTTACATTTCTTGGTGCGGCATCAAGGGCTTATAGCTTACATTTTCAAAGTGCATTACAAGCATTAAGCCGAAGAGAGGGAACATTAAATCCTACTCGTGCACTTGGTCCAAGTGTTATTGTATTTCATGAAACTTGGCACACTCGTATATTATCACATAGTATACTAATTTTGCTTATAAAATATACAAATATATGTTTTTTTTTTTTTTTTTTTAATTAAATACTTAAAATATATATTTTTCAGATACGTCAGAAGAAAGTGCAGAAGATGTTTTACGAAATCGTTTCACTCAAATGAGATTGGAAATTGATGCTTTCAGTTCAATAAAATACGTTGGTGTACAAACATTGAACCCACCAACAAATTACAACCCTCTTCGCAATGCTATTAAAAATGAGTTATATAATACGACCGTAAGGTCGGCAAGAAACCCGCATCACGTGTACAATACACTGAAAATACTAAATGATAAATTTTCTGGAGCAATCGAAAATAATTCTAATCATTTATTTTCTGACCAGTATTTTACTTGTCAAGTAAAATGTCGTAGTTGTGACAGCAGATGTCGAAATAGCATGGGACACCTTCGTGAAGGAATTTCTCATTGCAGTGATATTAAGTAAATATAATAATAATAATAAATAAACTTCAACATTGATTTAGTTTTACTTTAAACTTTTCGATATAATTTCAGATGCCGCTATCAACATCAATATGAAAACTTGGTGTATATCTGTAAAAAATGTCATGCCGATGGTAATGAAGTCATAGTGACTAGTCGCACGTTGCCTCAAAATGACAGTAGTTGGTATGGACTGGCAAAATACGCATGGTCTGGTTATGTTATTGAATGTCCACATTGTGGTGAAATATATCGTAGTCGTCAATATTGGTATGGTAATAAAAATCCCGAAGATGCTGCAGTGCGTACTGAAATAACTCATGTTTGGAATGCAGTAAGTATTTATTAGAAAACATTTTTATTGTTAACAATTTAACTACTGACAAATAATTTTTTTTTTAGCCTAATTCAGCACTATCGAATCAGAATGCAGCTCAAAAAATAATTGATAGCGTAGCGTATCTCACTGAAGCTGTTACAACTGCTTCCATTCAACCGACAAAAGCCATCACTGCTTGGGTCGCTGATCAAGTTGCACCTACTTATTGGCGTCCTAATAATGAAATTCAAAATTGTCACCAATGTAAAAGCTTATTTGGTCCTTGTGATACAAAACATCACTGTCGTTCCTGCGGTGAAGGTTTCTGTGCTAATTGCTCATCTCAGACAAAACCTGTTCCTGCAAGAAATTGGCTAACACCTGTACGTGTTTGCGATAGTTGTTTCTCAAAAGATACTAATTCTAATGAAACTACTTCTGATACTACTGAAGATGTTAGTGTTAGAAAAGTCAGCGAACACGTTGTATCAACTTTAAACGCATTTGGAACTGTATTAACTTATTCAAAATGTAAGTTTTAATATTCTTATTTAATATTCTTTAATATGATTATATTAATAAACATATTATTTTATTTAGCATTGATTAAAGATACTGTCCGACCAACGTATTGGGTTCCTGATTCCGAATTGATGAATTGCTGTATTTGTGAAAATCCTTTTTCGGATATTTTACCTTTTCATCATTGTAGAGATTGTGGCCGTGGTGTATGTCAAAATTGTTCACAAAATCGTAAACCTGTACCTCGTCGAGGTTGGGATAATCCAGTTCGCATATGCGATTCTTGCATTAAGATTGATTGACCTAATAGAATTTAATCAACAATCATAAATATATAAAATTATTGTTTATTTTTAAACGTAAGTTAGTTTAAACATTAAAAAAAATAATTTTAAATTCTAATCTATTATTTTCGTTATCGATTAGGAACAATATTAAATAATACTATTCGATGATAAAAAATATTACATTTGATTTTATTTATTAAGATAAAAAATGAATATAAAAAAATAGTGCCATAATTGGAATATATCTTTTTTTTAATAAATATAGCCTATTTGAATATCGATCATTGCATGCTAAAACATTAAAATATAAATTTATTAGAGAATGCGTGATTGATAATATATTATATATTACAAATGATTTATATTTATCTAATATTATTACTGGTATAATAAACATATTTTATAATAGTAACTTTTATTGCAATGCAACATAATCATTACCGGGCTGTGAATTGACTATCGAAAATGCATTTTCATCAAATGTCAAAAATACAATAAAACACGTTAAGTACATTCCATTGTTTGTGTATTTACAACTTTATAGTTTTTATTTCTAAATTTGAATAAAGATGATATAAATTAAGCAAAAACACCCAGTTTTTTTTTTTTTTTTTTTTTTATAAAGTAACTTATTAATTAGTTAACCGCCTATAAACCTAATAAACTTAATGTCCGTAAGATCAATTTCACTTTTAGAATTAAATAAATTTTTTAAGATAATAATTGTACTATCCAATGATATTTTTCCTATTATCGCAAAATATAATTGATAAAAATGGATTAATTATTAAATTAATTCTTGCACTTCATCATTGTTCATTTTCTTTATCATTCATATCATGATTATTAATTAAGTATCATGTACACAATAAAATTTTCAGTTAATTTGAATTTAGCGCTAATAATTTTTTCTACGCTTCAATTGCGCCTGCGTAAAAACTTGACTGTATGTCTTAATGAAACTATTGTTGGGAATATTTTTGTAATTTGTGACGTTTCAACATGGTGTCTCAGATCAGCTGGGTGTTTTGCAGTGTTGTGTAGATGCATGAGTGTATGCTTGCAATGCTCGTCTTCATAAAATTTTCTAAGGCCATCGTCTATTGCCGTGTACACGTAAGTGCTTTGTTACTAAGGATAAATATCATAATAATATGTGATGTGATGTGATTGTGATATTATTTAGCATTGTTGTTGTTTTTTTAAAAATTTAAATAAAATAAACGTGCAATCATGCTATCATGCTCAATAAGATAGCTCATTGAAATTTTATTAATTTTTTAAAATATATTTTTTTAATAGAAGCAAAAACATGTTATTTATTAATACGTATTTTAACATAAGGGATAATAAGTTTCAATTTGAATTTCGACTACGACGCGTTAAATAGAACGATAACCATACGAGAAAATACGGCCGAGTAAAAAATCAAATCAAGCTGTACGTTTAAATTTTAATTAAAAGCTTTTGATATGTTGTGAGATTCTGAATAATAACTTATCATGTTATGATAATATTACAATTTAAAATTTTTTAATTTGTTCTAAAGTTTTTAAGTTGTGTGCAAGTGATACCGTTGTAGCCATTTTCATGCTTACTCGAGTTTCGTAATCACTATCAACTCCATATTTGAATTCAACAAGTAACTTAGTCTCGTGCATTTTATAATATTTTTTAATAATATTGATAATTTAACAATACTATATCACAGAAAACAATTATTTACTTTCTTTATTTTGTATTTATTGCAACACATGTTTCTTATTAATCCAAAAAATTTGATTTTTTTTTTAAAATCTGTTAAATATTTTCTACGCCTCGTTATGATATATCAATAATTTTAAAAGTTTAATCATGTAATAATAATTATTGATTTACAACAATATTATAAAAAGCTATGACAATAGATACGATATAGTATAAATACATTTATCCCAGTGATGATGATACAATAAAAATTTCAGAACTATTTTCTGTTTATTACTCCTTTAAATAAAATAATTATAATAATTTCATCAATATTGCCTGTTATTATCACAAAAATTTACTCATTGTTGTGTTTTCTTATTAGTTTATAATCTTATTCGATTTAAATTAATTAGCGTTTCCTTGTAGTTGTGAATGCTCCAAATTGTTACCCACCATTTTGTCGCCTCATTAAAAGGATAAACAAATGGCGCAATTGGTCCGCCGGGTTTGAGATTATTATTCGAATAAACTTGCAACGTCAACAAAAAAAAAAAAAAAAAAAAAAACATTAATTTGCCAATTTTTTTTGTATACTTTTTTTGTTACGTTATTATAGTACTTCATGAAGAGTATTTACAAAAAAAAAAAGTATGTTACTATCGGTTACCATAAAATTGATAAAACAATCAGTTTTATAACTTTAAGAAAGTTAGTATAGTCGAGAATGTTGTTAAGCACTGTAGAACCAGTTTGTCGTTGCTTGGCAACAACATCATACTCATTTATGGCCGCCAAAGTGAACACTATCAATAACTATGACGCTTTTTTTTTAATTCGTAGTTTCAATGTATATTTATATATTAATTACATTATGTGATTGTTATTGAAAAAAAATCCTAAAAAATATTACCAATCTTTGGTATAATAACAATTAATTTTAAAAATAAGATGAATAACAATTAATTTTTAAATGTTTATTATTGTTTTAGGAATCAGTTTAAAATTAGTTTTGAAAATTTATGGACTTTGTTAGTTTTTATGAAAGGGCTTACAATTTTATTTGTGTAAATTTTATTTTTTAAAAAGTGCAAATTCAATTTCACTTTAAAACATTGAAGATGTAAAATTAAAATTGCTTTATACGCTGTTGCCATAGCAACGTGGGCATACTAACTTAGTTATACTTATCGTAGAGAAAAACCGAAAAAAAGAAAAAGATAAGTCAAATAGAGAAGAATATTAGTGGTCCTTGCAGCGCCACAACGTGTTTTACTGTGGCTATTTCTGACGACACTTCTACGACGTTGTCGACGGTTTCTTTTTCTCACGGGCACATCATGTTTTATATTTAGATAGGAACATAACTGAAATTAGATGCCTGTATCAAGAACGAAGAGATAAACGCCAGCCGATGAAATTCGAGGTGGCAACTTCCTTTTTCCTATCCTGCCCGAATATTTAAATTATTCTATTTACACTTTTGTTTATCACATGTAATCACATCTTATTACCTATTCATCCATAAATAATTATTTGTAAATTAATTTTGTTATTTAATAATTATAAATTTTTTTTAATGATTTTAGTGATCGGCAAACTTATTGTTTACAAGGATTAAAAAAATAATAAACTCCGTAAAAAAATGGCACCGGACAGACCCGATGCATCGGGCTTAGAGGCTACGTGTGGTTTAACCGTTACACGAGTCTTTAATATTGTTGATTCAGTAGTGACATTCAAAAAAGCAGATAATACTAGTGCATTCGCTGACAAAAACAATATCGCTACAGTTGACGTAGCTTCATCAGATGTTATCAGCAATCCTACAGTTGTCAAAAATTTTAACGATTTGGGAAACCCATTGATAACTAAAATAAATCAGTCTGACGATGATCTTACATCATTAACGTGGCTTCATCAACAGAATCTTCTTAAAGGTCTTGAAATTTCGAGCCCTACCAAAAATATCAAAGATGAAAATATTTTTATTAATAACAACAATAATAATGATAATAAGAATAATAATAATAATAATAATAATAATAATAACAATAATAATACGAATAATAATAATAATAATATTAATAATAATAATAATGTATGCGAAGATAGTACAGAACTTTCAGAAAATACCAACTCTATTTCAAGTCTTGACGATAATTATTTTCCAGGTAAAAAAAAAGTTTGCTATAATTATTAGAATTATAAACTGTTGAAATTAAAATAATTAAAATTTCAGAAAATAATGGTAAAATAAGTTCACCTGGAGCAGGGAAACTATGCCTGAGTTATCAAAACTCTGATCAGACTCACGAAAAATCCGAGCCATTCTATCATCAGGATACAGGGAAAAACTCTTACAACGGCATGCAACAAAGTAATCAAGTGAAGATATCATTGAACAACAATAATTTGCCTGTTTCGAATCGTAACAAGCATCCTACTCATATTCCTTATGATCCTCATTTGCATAGAAATAGTAAACCACCGTATTCTTTTTCTTGCCTTATATTTATGGCTATTGAAGACAGTCCGATGAAGGCATTACCAGTTAAAGAAGTTTACGCTTGGATACTTGATCATTTTCCCTATTTTAGAAATGCACCAACTGGTTGGAAAAACTCGGTCAGGCATAATCTCAGTTTGAACAAGTGTTTTCGGAAAGTTGAAAAAGCACCAGTATGTAAACTATATTTATTACTTTTCTATTTAATCAACTTTTAAATATTTTATTTATTATTAAAATCTATAGAATCTAGGAAAGGGTTCACTGTGGATGGTAGATGATCAGTATCGTCCAAATTTAATTCAAGCGTTATCACGAGCACCTTTTCCTCCGCCAACTGGACAAAATCTCTCTTCGCCAGACAAAAATATGAAAAAAAATACCAGTACACGACTTCCTGATCCTGTATTGTTCCCTTACTTATCTAAGAGGCTTGCATCAAGTAATATAATTGATAGTACAGAACTTGAATTTGACAGTGACGTTGATGCTGCTGCAGCTGCTATGCTTTCTTTTAAACACGGACCTATTATTCTTAATCACAATAAAGGTAGTACTATAGTAATATCGATTGAGAATTAATTATCAGTCCTTTTTTGATTGAAAATATTCAAATATACTTTTTATTTTTTCAGAGCGGAAACGAAAATCAAATATTGAGCCAGAAAAATTGATACCTATAATTACGCGAAGCTCTAGTGAAGATCATACATACAGCTGTATAACCTCTTTAAAATCTGACAGGTAAAATTTTGTTACATTATTAAATTGAATTTTATATAAAATGAAATAAATTTGATACTCATTCTAATTTTATCAACAAATTATATATTGATAGAAAAAATGATTTAAAAATAGACATATTAAGATTTTAACAAACCTTTCACAACTATTATTTTCATACAAAAGACAATCACATAATAAATATTGACGGGAAACTTTTCTACTTTTCTTCCTTAGTGTGCGATATATTACTTTCCGTTTTTATAAGTTATTAAAAGGGGGAGTTTGTTTTTTGTGAATATTTCCTATTTAATAACATATCATTATTAGTAAAATTACCATTAACACAAACTACGTACAATACAATTCTTTTACAAACAGTAAAAATATAAATTTATTTACAGTAAAGCGTCGAACAGCTCAATTTTAGATAATATAGGACTTGGTGTCAATGATGTGGATGAACAACGTAAAATAGCTGAAGGAGCTGATGCTCTACTCAATCTTGCTGGAATCCCTTTCATTAATAATAGTGCTCAAGAGATACCTATAAACACCGTCAGTACATCATCTGTAATTAATCATACCATAAAGTTGCCATTGATACAGGTATCTTCGTCTAAATCAAAGCGGCGCATCACCTCGAGCGATTACTCTAGTCTACCTGACAAACGACGTAAGCGCTGGCGCGAGTGGGGTGGAAGCAACAGGTACCCTAAACAAGTTCGGGGTTAGTGATAAGTGTTTGTTCATACTTTTTTTCTTCCGTGTAAAAAATGATTGTTTTTTAACGCGGGACGAAAGTTAACAATTAGCTGTACGTCAACTCCATACAGTGGCCAAAGTTATATTTTCAAGAAAAAAAATTCTAACAAATAGTTGATGAATAGTGAAGGAAGTAATGGAAATTCATTTTGTTTTCTATTACAATTCAATAGAGATTTATAATATTTATTATTATTGGTGCAAGTAAATCTCTATTTGACATGGTAAGTGTTTTAGAAAAGAAAAGCACTGAAATACGAGCAATAATAGGAAAAATTATATAATAATAATTAAGAAGAGAAATACATAAAAATATAAAGTAGAATCATTCATGAATCAAAGATAATTTTAAGTTATTCATTCAATCGAAAAAGAAATGAATATTGAGAATTAGGAAAAAGAAAACTTTTTAAAAATATGAAAAAATTATGCATATTGTTAGAAAATTTAACAATTAACAGATTATATATAATTATACAAATATACATTAGAGTTCTTCATTATAGGGCAATGTTTTTTTTTTTTTTTTCCAAGTTCTCGTTGAGCAAACGTAACTTTCATAGCTCAAGAGCTATTGACGTTAAAAAATAATTTTTTATAAAACTAATTTATTAAGCAAAAGTATAAATTTAAAATCAATTACCAAAAAATGGTGACTCTTAAGTATACATTCGGTAAAAATCCGATTTTTAATTTTTTAATTTTACAAAGTGATAAAAATATTTACTTCAACTACTCAATGAAACAGTGAGTAATTATACTACAAATCAAAACGAATATTGTGGGATATTCGTTGCGTAAATAGTAAAGTTTGTTTTATGTATAGAATTTATTATCTAATTAACATTTGGAAAAAAAAATATTGTTCTGAAATGAAGTATCCTAATATATATATGTATGTATGGGTAAAGAAATTAATATATTTGAATTATGAAGATAACGATATAAAAACTAGTGGTACATTAATATAAGAAAAAGTAATTAGATAAAAATTGTATTTTGCTGTACATACCACTGATATATGTTCGGATAACATTCTAATTAGAAAATAAAAAATATAAATTATTTAAAATTTAGAAGAAAAATAACAAAAATAGAGGTTATCATCATCAACAATACCAAAATAGAATTACGAATCATTGAAGAAAAAAAATTATTATAGTTCATCTTTTTTTACATTAATGATCTTATATACATTTGGGGAATAATTGAAACTAGACTATATACTTTATGAAATCGATCTTCATTTTCGTAAAGTTTGCTTTTATTTTGTTTTCAGTTCTTTCATTATTTTGATGCGTTCACAATAACGATCATTAAAGAATCTTAATCTCATTTTTAACATATTTTAATTTCATCACGATACTAAGATCGACAATTTGTATGCAACAAGTTGTGGACGTTCGTTTGACGGCAATACAATTCAAGATTAATAATTATTCATTTTTTAAGTTTTATTGTTCTGAAAAATATTGTATGAAGGTTCTAATTTTATGATTTTAAAAATTTTTTTTGTTATAGTGCATCTGTATATCTTACACACTTTTTTTTTTTTTTTTTTTTTTATTTCAATTGGCCAGAATAGTTATTACACACCTTGGGCAGTAAATAACAAAGCCTTAGATTACATGTGATCTGAGACTTTCTTACCCTATTGCCCTAGGTATGTAATATACTAATTGTTTTAACTAAATGAAATAAAGATAGAATTTTTTAGATCATAGTGTTTTCGAGGTCGATATATAATGGACATAATATTATTAAGATATCCGATAATGATCAAGTTATTTTAATAATTTCTGTTATCATTTATTTATTTTTTTTCGTTTGTTAAAACAAATATATATAAAATAGCTGCTTCTTATTATTATATATACTGTACAAAAAAACAGAGTAAGAAATGAAAAGTGTAAAAAAGTGAAGAAAAAATATATTTTTACAGGGCTTTACTCGTGTGATATGATAAAAGCTCTTCCTAACGAGTTCGCTGATGTACAGTTTACTTAATATAAAGAGAAAATTAGAAAGAAATATAGACTAAAAACTATTATTTAGGTGTCATAGATTTTATAAATATTGAAAATCATGTTAGCTACATACATATAAATGTATATTGATATATTATGTCACAGATTTAAGACGTTTATGTAAATGTTTTTATTAGGTTTTTTTCATAATTAAATATTAATGCATAATTTTTATTCTACAGAATATTAAGAGCTTTATCTCATCACAATTTTAAAATATATTATTTTATGTAGAAAATATTAATATGACTTGAACAATTTGATAAATTTAGTAATAATTTTACTTTTTACAATTAAAATTTTATTTGTTAAAAACAAAAGTCGGTAGAAATAGATCTTTCATGTAATTTATAACTGCGATATTAATATTTGTAAAGAAATATTATGATTGTTATTTAAGTTTATTTTATTTGAATTATAATAGTATCTAATTAAATTATATTTAAACTTTTATGATTTTATCATTCAAGCGAAAAAAATCTTTTTCTTTTTTTCATTAATTTCAAAATTGTTAACAACAAAAGATAAAGAAACGAAATAAGAAAAATTTTTAATAATCAAGTAAATTTTATGTATGACACTATTTTATTGAATCAAATAATTTATGATTAATAATATTTTATTTAGGCGCGCAGTAGCCTATCGGATCCGGCCCTTGCTTACCAAAGTATTGGACCGGGTTCGAGTCCGGCGTACACCAATTAATATTTTCAATATTTAAGTGTATTATTCTGCTCAGCCCAAGAAATACAAACGAGTTCCAATCTCAAAAGTTTACCCCCTACCGTAGTCGCTCATGACCTTAGTAGTTTATGCGACTTTAAACAAATTAAAAAAAAAAAAAAAATATTTTATTTGTTTTAATAAACTGAATTAAATTATCATGAACGAATCATTAAAATTCAGTTTCAAATTTTTTTACATTTATCGCGTTGTTCTTATTGTTGTTGTTTATAATTATAATTATGTATTATATTTTTTTATGAGACTCATTAATGAAAAATAAAAAATACGCAACAATAAAATTGATCAAGTAATAAATTCAATCATCGGTCAATGAGACAAATTATAGCAACAACCATAGTATATATAGACATAAATTACATAATATTTCTGGCTTCAACACTACTTTTCATTTTCTACGAGTGAAGGTCGGATCTTCCATGTAGTTTATTCTAAACTAATTAAATAAGAAAGCTTAATCATACAATTGTTATTATCTATGATAAGTTGTTTAACGTTAAATTAGATAGTAGTTTAAAACTAATAGTTGAATTGAAGGAAAATATTTAATATAAAGAATTAAATAAAGTTAGTCATGTAAAGAATAATATTGAAAAATAAAATAAATCACATGGTTAGTAAGCAATACACCAGTAACACCTGATATCGAATGAAATACTCTAGTCGGCTGAGTTATTTTATGAATCGAAATGTGAACGTCATTATCAGAGAACAATAACACGTAATAATAATAAATATTTTAGAAAAAGGAATACGAATATAATTGAGAGCATAAAAGTGTATGTATATATATATATATACACCTAGCAACGGACAATCAAAATGCCACATCGTGTTTCATTTGTTTCAGTTGCGTTATATTGTGCCAAACGATATGCAAGTATAAATTTGAAAAAAAAAAAACCATCAACCATTTTTAGTAAATTTTTCATTTTTGAAACTGTTAAAGTTGTTTAATTAAATTAATATCGTTAGAGATAAAGTTTTAGTAGGTATATTTGGACTTTTGAAAATTTGAGATTTTATTTTATAGAAAAAATGAAAAATTAAAAAAAATTCCCCACATCGTCAATTTTATGCTAAAAATTTTTTAATATTAAAAAAACACTATAAATGTACATACTATAACAATTAAAAAACTTTATAATTTGAATGAGTTTAACATACATGTAAAAAAATTAAATCAGTTTATTATATTATTAATTTATAACGTAATATAAATTATTGTTTTATTCTGTACGTTAAGCAAATATAAATATATACATATAGTAAAGGGGAGGTAAATCGAATATTCGGACAAAAAAAAATTATTTATGAACAATTTAAAACGTCCAAAATATTATAAATACTTTTTTTCCCTCTAAAAGTGTCAAAGATAATATTCGTACATTATTTAATGTTGTAATTAGAATACCTGTTAAATTTTATGAGAAGTCTTTGATTTTCTTTTTTTTTTCAATTATAAACAAAAAAGAAATGATTTAAAATAGTGAAGATCAACAAAGTGCATTTTATGAAGCAACTTTGAATAGCCTCCCTTTTTCTCTGTAGAAATAAATTATAAATATTTATGTATACATATATCTATATTAATGTTTATATTTATAATTATATTCATATATGTTTTGTTGGCGTATTACATAAACACTATTGTCTAATTAAGTTAAAGAAAACAAACTGTAAAATATTTGTTAAGTTTTTGGCCTTATTCATTTAGCTTGTAATTTAAAAAAACGTTAAACTATAAAGTATAACCAATGTTTATTCATTTTTTATATTTATTATATGCAATTCCTTAATTTTAGAGTTTAATTTGTTCATCACCAATGTTCTTATCTTGTTTATAATTTGTAGAAAAAATTGACGTGATGATGTGCACATCTTCCGAAAATTTTCACAGCCAGATTCGACTATATTATACACTGAGAAAAAAAAATATTTTTATTAAGAAAATTTTCTTGATACAAGAATTTATGTTCTTAGCTCAAGAAATTGTTAAATTGATTGAAATAATTTTTACTTAACTTAAATAAAGCTTGAACCAAGAAATTGTTAATTGAGTAGAAGTATTTTTTTTTTCTCAGTGTAGGAATATTGAATTTTTATCGATTTATAATGAATGTTGTTGATAGTTTTTGTGTTAGTTAGTACAGTCAACTTTGGTATTATCGCTTAAAGTATGATCGAAATTTTACTCCTTAAATTTATATACTTATATTTTTAAGTATTATTAAATTTGAAAATGTTTACAAATTATGTGTATGAAGACAAAAGTTTTTCAAGTTATATTTAAAATTATATTTTTTGACTTAAGATTTTTAAAAATTTTTTTCTTTAGTATTTCACTCAATTCGAATAATTATAAATCAATTAAGGGGCCATGAAAGAAGATTTGATAACATTTTTATGAGATAATTTTTGGTGCATTGTTTTGAGCTAAATTTTGGACAGATTTTAATAAAATTTAAACCACATATAAAAAATAGAATAATAAAAGCAGGAAACTAATTTATTTATGAAATTTTTACAAAAAAAAAAATTAATTCAAAAGAAAAATCGCAACTTTATACAGCCTACAGAAATCTACGTC